AGTCGAGGCGAGGGCGCTTAGGAGCGGTGTAGGGATTCATTTCTGGTTGGGCTTGTAGAGACTGTTTTTACCTTACCTTATGTTGGCACTTTTGTAGCTTACATAATCAATCAATCTTTTCACCAGTTACCAGTATGAGTCTGAGTGCTCAGTAGTTTTCTATGATATTTCCTCTCCTCTGAGCCTTGAGCCTGGTCCAGAAACCCTTTAGGGTCGAATAGCAGCTAGGTTCTGCAAGACCCAACATTGTTCAGACTCACCATCTGAATTGTTGTACCTTCAGCGGGTGCGGGACGAGAGTCGAGCAGACGCTTCGAACGCTGCACGATAATTGTCTTATCGACGACACCGGCATCTTCATCAGTGGTTGACTCGCTGACGATCTCCACGTCTGACTCAGGCGAAGCAGCAGCTACAGGCACAGGTGTTTTCGCCTTAGGTGCGGCTGGCGCAGCCACTTTGGTCTTAGGCGCAGCCGGCGCGCGCTCCTTTGCCTTGTCTCCAACTAGAATAGGTGTTAGAAAAGGAAAAGGAGGAAGAAACAAAACATACCAAAAGAACATCCCTTCCTGGCCTTTATACATGTGTTGCAGCGCAGGTTAGTGTCGTTTAACGCACACTTAGACCCGGCCACAGCGCATCGCGCGCAAGGTTCCTCCAGATAGGTCACCGAAGTAGCAGTGATACGACCGCCAAGACGCTAACAGGAATAAATCAGCAACGGAAAACGACACAACAGAAAGAAAGACTTACTGGGCGACCCATATCAGCCACTTCCGCTTCCGCCGCTTTCTCCTTCTCAGGTCCCGCCGCCTTCGCTTTTCCCTTCTCAGACGACTTTGCATTCCCGACCTCCTTCTCCTTCTCAACGCACGCCGGGCGCACGGTAACAGCCGACTCTTCAGCCTTCTCCTTCCGAGCCTTGACGGCCTTGGTCAGAGTCTTGACAGCGGCCTTGCCAGCGGCAAGGTCGACTGCCTCGGCGTCCCTGAGTGAAAGGTGCACCTCGGAGGCACACGCCTGATCAAACAGAGTGCTCATATTGTTCTAAAAACCCCCATTAGTCATCAGTAAGCAGCACAGTAATAAAGGAAACTCACCATTGTACGTGTCCAAGCGCGAAGCCACGACTCCTGATCCTCCAAAAGCTCTGGTTTAGCCGGAGGACATGCCTTTACAGAGGCACGCATGGTGCCGAGAGTCACCGCCCAGGACCGACGGATCCAGTCGGTGATGATTTCTCGTGGTTCCTTCGGAATCGCGTCGTCGAGAGTGGCGTCATCGACAGACGCGTTGCCCTCGTCTTGAGGACGCTCCTCAGGAGAGGGAGAGGGAGAAGGGGACGCGGTGAGCATAGAAGGATTGAAGATGACGGAAGACATGATGATGGTAGGAGATGGAGATTATCGCAAAAGGACGCGATGGATAATTGAATGGAAGAAGAAGAAGCGCGACGCGAGGCCAGTTCTTTTATGCCCGAAACGAACCACATTATGTCAGCACAATAGCGCTCGCAGTCCACAGCTCGCCAAAACGCCGGTGGACCGTTCCACATACGCTTTCAACGTGTTCTACCCATGATCACGTGACTTTCCTTGTCGAAATTTTGCCAAGTCCATCCGCCCCTATATACACTGACTGGGGACAGTCAGAAGCTAAGTCCCTATGAGATGTAGAGACTAATATCTCTGTGGCCTTGCAGGGATCTAAAATCCCATTGTTACTATCACTTCCCAACATAGCACGACTCATATCTCACACAGCGCGCCCAAGCACATCGTCGGCCGCTCGCAAGCGCCAGCGCTCCGGTCGCTCCTTAGTCGCGCATCAGCACGCGCATCTTTGGTTCCGTCACACGTCCTCCGTCCATCCATTCCATGTCCGTTCGGTTCGTCGGTGCGTATTCCAATTCTATTTTCATTGATTCTAACATATCTCTGGTGCTTATGGCCATATTTCGTATGTTTTCCGTTATGGACCCTTTATTACATATTATCTCGCGTCCGCTTCGCTTCTCAGTTCGCTTTAACGCTTGACAGCACTTATCATTACTTAGTATACAGTGGCTCAAAAAAGTGTCCCAATGTTTGTAGCTTTTCATGTAATTGCTATATCATGTGTCAAGACGTGGGAATATGACTAAGCTATAGGGAAATGTCGGAAAGGTCTGCATCTCAGCTTCATTTCGGCTCCCTATGCCGTGGGAAAATAATGACATTATGTGAAGATATGAGTATTTTAATTTGATGACTCATTGGGACACTTTTTTGACTTTAAGTTTTACTAATGTAATCTCTATAATTCTAGTACTGTGTGTGACCTCCTTCTGCTCCAATCACTTCTGCCACTCTTCTAAACATATTCTCTATCAAGTATAAATCGTGTAATAGGGATCTTTTTCTGCCCACACATCGTTGGACTATAAGTCTAAGTTAACCTCTAAAAACTCAAAAGTATCTAAGTACAATACGAGCGCCGCCGCCGTACACTACTAGAAACTCTGTCCATTAGTATTCTGACTCATTGAGAGTCGCTGCACTCCACCACCCGCACGCGCACCGCTTCCACTTAAAGCGCGTGCTTCTGTTATAAGTCGCGCATCAATATCTATCGTCGGCCGCTATCGCTCATCGGCGCTTCACGTCGCGTGCCTAACCAGGCTTGACCAAGCGCCCAGTTCAGTGTTTCCCTCCGTTTTATACACCTAGAGGAACCTTCTCAGTAGCAATCCCCTTGGGCCGATGTATATCTCGCTCACCGAGGACTACTTGAGTTATCTCATACTACCTATATTCACCCACTTCCCATTCCTCTTCTACATCGCGCATTGCCTAGTCTGCTATTCTTGAGACAACAAGTGCATTCAACCCTAAAGGGGAAGCAAGTACTGCAAAGATCTAGAGGTAAGCACTACCAGTCGGCCAATGCGAGGCATGAGAAAGCGCAGGTGCGTGCAAGGCATGAAGATGCGGGAACGCGCATGTGTAAGGCGTGAAGCGCAGGAAAGTGCGCACGTATATGCAGAAACGAGAGAGACTGAGCTTAAGTGATGTTATAATGCAAGATAAAAGATGAGAGTGCGAGCTGTAAACAGATAGAGTTCTACTGCGACTTTCTAGGTAGTAAGTGCTAGGTAAAGTTGGGTAAAGTAAGGTAAGGTCAAGTGCCCCCTTCCTAGTATGTACTGCTGGCACTTATATAGCGCGCCTAAGCACTGTCATGCGGAGCTGAAGCACTACCGAGTAGGTATGTAGATATATATATAAGTAAGGGTCCATGATAAAAATAAGGTGGAACAATATGCAAATGAGAGAAACAGAAATATACGCACTAGAGAACTTGGAGGACAGTGGATGGATGCATCTGGATGGCTGGCACCATAGGGCCCTCAAGCGTGGGAAAGCGCGCACGCATATACATCGCAAAGCGCGGGAATGGTGCGCGCATTGCACAGGAAAGCTGCGCCTCATATAGGGATAGCTGCGGGTAGTGCACAGAGTGACACTACAAGTTCGTGCTATGTACTCCCTAGTGAAAACTGTCATATCAGACCATGAGATGCACGAGTCTCTACATCGAGCTCAAGTACAACTATATCCATGCTGTGACGCCATTATACTCTCAGTATGATATATCGTCATGCACAGCTGATGGCTGGCAGAAGGTAATGGGTGATAAGTCCGAAGCAGCAAAGATAATTAAGATGTACTGGAAACCCCGTGGTTTGACTTACCAGGTATGCCTTTGTCAGTGCTGTGGATCATCCCTGTTAAGACCATGCACAAAGGGTAGGACTGATTCTGAGGGGCTTGGCTTCAGCTCGTGTGCTGCGCCCCTTACCCGAGTATGTGCCCTTAATTTCAGATTGGTGTCCAAAGAAAGTCCGAAGATATCCGAAGGCGCGGGAAACTTCGGAAGGACCTTCCGGACGGGTACAAGTAACTTCCGGATGAGTGCGGGAAAGTTCTGGAGGAACTTCCGGAAATTACAATGAGGTTTCGTCCTAATACAGATATGTGTAATGGCTACTCAGGACTTGTCCTGAGTAGAAGCAAACAGAGGAAAGGCTGCAAGGACAAAGTCCGAAGCAGAATAGGTCCGGAGGACTGCAGGGAAAGTTCTGGATAGACTTCCGGAAACTTCGGAGGATCAGAACTCCGGCCTAGGGAATTCCTCCCTAGGCCTGAGATGGATATTGACTAAGTTTAAGGACTAGAACTGATAAGAGGATTTAGAGTGAAGACTAGTGCAAGGACTAATATGATATTCAGACTGAGGTACTACAAGACGTATACACGAGTTTATATACTAAGAGAAATAACGGAAGGATCAATAAGCAGAGTCCAAGGCTATGTATGAAGCATATGCAAAGGTTGACAAATGCGAGTCGGAAATGAACATAGGTTAACAGATCAGTAAGCATACTGGTAATAGATATAACCGAGGTACCAGTAACAAGGAATACCGGATAGGCTGTGTTAACGTTATATGCACAGGAAATGAATTACAAAGCTTATCGTATATCGGATAGGAAACAGATCTATACATCGGATCGGACCGGATCGGATATGGTCCGGATGAGATGCATGGATATATAGGATGTGGCATTAGGGCAATGGGACAAGGATGAATGATGCAGGCTAGCTGCGAAGGATAAGGGATCTGGATGGGTACTGGAGACATGGATAGGACATCCGAAGGTCCGGATGAGGCGTGGGAATATTATCGGATGTAGGTCCGGAATACGGGATATGACAATCCCTCTAACAAACTGTCACAGATCGATGTAGTTGTTGCAGCTCAGCAGTCGGGTCAGGATCGCGGAGATCTCACGAAAAAAATAAGTGATTGGGAGCTCAGCAGTATGGGATCCCATTCTACGTTCTGCAGCATTTCTTGATACTAACTTATATCTCTGTTATCTAGGTTGGGCTAATGTGAAAGCTTCACAAGTTAGAGCAGTAAGTACGATTGATCAATCCAATATTTTGTCGACTGAAATGTTGCTGCAGCAATATAAGATACTCAATTCTCTCCTGATGGAAAAGGAAGAAATAGCAAATATCGCTGAGATGATGTACAACCGTATGCTCGATAAAGAGGAGGAGGCCATAGTCAAGCTCAGACAAGTGATTAATTTTGCTACCAATAACAAATGTGAGTCCACAATTTTTGACACATATATGTTGCTTATGTCTGGAGTATAGGTATGGCACAGTGTCTTGCTTCATATTTTGGGGATGAGGTGGCCATTCCTACTGGCTTGTGCAGATCATGCAGCTTCTGTCAAACGGGTGAGGGCATAACTTTTGAGCCAGGGATCACCACTTTGCCTGATCCTAATAAGATCAAGGCCATTCTGAATGCATGTCCCGAACGTGATGACCCTCGCCTCCTCACAGCGCATGGCATTTGGTATTATGTCTCCCAGGTTGACAGTGGGAAAGTGGTCCACTAGTCATCCGCTGTTTGGAAGCATGGTAGAAGTTGATTTTAATGCTCTGGTAGAAGTGTTCGACAATGAATGTGCAAGAGCATTTTGCAGACATTCCTGATACTACTTCAGATGTCACTCGTGCTCTTCTGCCTCTCGCTAAGCGCCCACATTTGGATCCAGCAAACCACGATATTTAGTGTCATCATCTGCATTACAGCTTTCAGTATTCTACTTTATGTCGGCACTTTCCTCTTGTCGGTCTTGCATCTGGACAGTCCTTTCCAGCCTCGGAAGGATTTGCACCCATCTTCCAAAAAATTCTCCAGACAATCAGATTCACTCCCAAGTCTGACGTATTCACCAAATCATCTGCCATTCGCTGGATTCTAGAGACATCAACAAACCCAGACATTGTCAAGACTGCAGCTGCGATTATACCTCGCATGCAATGGCATCCCAACATTGATGCTTCAGCAGCCTTCGCACGTTTAGAACAACAGCATCATTGAAGTTGGCTGGATGTTGATGGTCTCTGGTGCGCTGTTCGACTCTTCGTTCTGTTCTGTTTACAGATCGCTCCTTGCACCATCTAGAGTTTGAGTTGGTGTTCGCAGTGGTGTTGGCATTGTTATCAGAAATGTTGCCGACACTATTGGTATTTGGAGATGCGTTAGAACAACGGCATCATCAAAGTTGGCTGGATGTTGATGGTCTCTGGTGTGCTGTCCCACTCTTCGTTCTGTTCTGTTTACAGATCGCTCCTTGAATCATCTGAGTATGTTTCACATAGGTTCTATCACTGTCAACAATGCAAGCATCCAAACATTTCGTTTATTGCCTACACTTCATACCGAGTCTCATTACTGATTTCTTGCGATCCCCAACAGGCTTCTAACTTCATCCAATTCCTGCCAGGCGTCACGCAGCCATCTAGTTGTCTCATCCAGCTCTTGTTCTCTTTGCAATGCCATCAAAATCAACCAACACCTTTCTTCCTCTGTTGTGTGGATCTGTGCCTGCTGGCGGTTTTGGCTCATACCGGATTGAGCTGCTTGTGTGGCGGTCCTCCAAATCGACTGCATCATGTTCGTGAGTCCTTCACCGTTGGCATACGATGTTTAATGACCACATACAATTGCCGACTGGGTGACAATCAATGGCTCCGGTATGACTGCATGATCCAAGTCAGGGAGGTTCTAGTAGTAATGGTAAGGTTTTAGATCAAGCGCACAAGCGCAAAATATCATCACTATTCTACTCACTGCTTGAGTACTGAATTGGTCACCTTGTGCTTGAGCATTATTGAATTGATTATTTTGCTCCATGGACTCGATGTAGTACAGATCTGATAATCAGTTGGACTTTGGTATAGTTCAATTGAAGTTTGTGTGGCGGCGTGAGTACACTGTATGTACTAGTTCTTGCTTTTTTTGGGAGAAACACTCTGAAGTTTCGCACAGTTACGCTCTGTGATAATGCACATGGCAGAGCCCTACAGTCGCTTTTTCAAGCCGTACTTCATGTGAATCGATTGGATTTACAGCCACAAGTATTGTACAGATCAACCGAGACGAGTCGCGAAAAGACATAAGTATCATACAGATTCAGATGAGACTGAGATGTGAGAACATATTAACGGAGATGAATGCTACAGATACAAGAGAACGGAGGCGAGTGCTATACATATATCAACATCAGTGAGGACATCCAGGAAATGGACACTCTGGGGCCAAAATCTGTGGTGGACTCTGGGGCCAAACTCTGGGGCATTTGTTTGTTTCAATTGGAGTTTCAACATCATGCACCTGACATACCACATGATTACAGCCACTTAGCATAATGTAGCACCTGTAACGGTGTAGAACGTTGCCATTTCACGCATCTTTTCACTCTGAACAGCTTAAACTTCATGATACAATATTTTGTGGAACATTGTGATCGCTTTGGCCAAGGTTTTTTGACTTTCAAGATGCAGTGGTGGTTGAATTTAGAAGTCCGATGAAGTGCGTTCTCTGGCTGCACACCTCTTGACACCCAACCACATCATCGTAAACGCCAACCCCATCAAGTCCCTAATCCTCTTTGTCAGGTTCCTTGGATGGAGTCAACTTGCGACTAGTGCTCTTTCTGAGCAGTTCAAGCTTCTGCCTACCACAGTCAAGAACCCTTCTACTACATGCCATGTAACGCCTGTGTGGTATGTTTTCTGATCATTCTTTTTTTCACTCATAACCTGAGATTTGCGTAGATGAAGTCATCGAATTGATCTTCTACGAGCTCGACCACCCAACCGCTTTAACGCTCACTTCCAAACACTTTCACAATGTGTCCCAAGACCCCTACATTCAAGCCCACTACTTTCTCAACCATTATGGCCACATGGATGCTATGTTTTGGGCTTTAGGAAGAGGGAAGATCATGTCTGACAAAGTCATTGATGTTTGTCACTTATTTCTCTCACTGTGTCTCAGCGCTTCATGTAGCCTAACTGATTATATGTGCTCCCTTTGTCTAGATCCTAATCAGTAGTGGCGCATATGTATCCAGATATCTTGTCCAAGTCGCCATACACCATTATTTTAGGTCTGCAAATCATTTTATAAAGACCGCATGGGTTTGCAACATGTCGATTCCCGTTTTTGCTCATTTCATGAAGGTCGCTTGTGGGTTGTTTGATGAAGTACTGTTGGGAAAGAATGAGGATGACGGTTATTTCTTCGCTGTGTTTTTAAAGGAGAGTAGGTCTACCACCCGCCGTCAGCGACACTGATGCGATCTCAGCCACCCCACCGTTATTACCACACTGACATGATCTCTGTCAGCCACCACTATAGCCATGATGCCACCTGACCTAGATATCAGCAACCTGTTAACCTCACTCCAAGGGCATCCAACAGATAAGAGAGATGGGTAGTGGGCATGGCATTGTCATAAGGTAGACTTGGGGCAGAGCATAAATGCAGTATTCTAAGAACGGCTGCATACTGGCAGGCAGCAGCGAGCAGGCGGGAGACACTGGTCAGCAATGAGCAGGCTGGGCTTTGTCATCAAATAATATTTGCAGTGTGAGGCGGACCTGCTGTCCTCTTTATGTTTCGGTCAAGTCGAGGTCTCTTATGAGGGATGGAATTGCCCTTCGCGCCGACTCTGACTCAAGCTGGTCCCGCTTCTACACCTGACCATGGTTCAACAGTAAGTCTTGGGCACGCTCATCTATCAACACTTACTTATTCCCTGTGTACTCAGACCTTGATTACTCCGGTATCTTCTTCATGCTCATATGGATCATAGTCCTGGGCATGATAATCTACAGCTTTATCCAACCTTGCTTGCAGTGATATTTTTGTTCAGGCTTCAAGGGTCATCCCCTCTGAAAGGACTTTCCATTATTGGTGCATGGCTACCACTACAACCCGCTAATCATAATGATAGGATCATCATTTTAGGGCTACACTGAAGTCCACTACGATGAAGAGAGGAAATGCGTCATTTACGAACTTCTGCAATTGGCGCTTTCTGGTTAGCCAGGAATCATCTTGATCCCTGCGCTGACCTGCACCAAACTGGTTCGGTGCATGGATGACTAACACTCTCCTATGAGCCCTATGCCCTATGAAATCATTTTTCCTGTGATCTGAAGTCAGACTAAGGCTAAGGGAATATTTTTCGCTTTTTTTCATTTTACGAGATTATACACGAGTGGATGGAATATTTTTGTACATTTAATTTTGCGATGAGTTTTGCTTAGTCAGCCATGAGGATGACTCAGAAAGATTCTCACACATACCAGGTGACTATGAAAAATATGTTTGCATAAGGTTACCCTGTGGGAAAGCTTACAAATCCTTAAATACGCATCTTATGTCATTATGCTACCAATCAATTCATCAGCCACAGATTGCACAAACATATGTACACAATATGTAATCACTTTCTCACTCTTTGTCTAGCTGAGTCATCAAGGGACACCTGACCCATGGGCTATACACAGCTCTTGCTGACTCATTATTATACCAACGAGAGTTATGAATATTTACTTTTTGACTCAAAGATATCGTGTGACTTGGTACTATCACAGTAAAGTTACAACTTTAAGTACGAGAAACTAGTAGTATAGCCACCAATTTGTCTATATAAGGAGCTGTTTCTTGCCCAATAAATGCATGCCCAAGTGCCACTTTTACCCTCTCAGAATAAAATTGTGAGTGAAGTGTGAAATCAGCATTCAGCAAGTGCAGTTCAAGGTTGGAGCTCACTGTGCTCAACAACCAGCACAACATATCTGAGCTCACTGTGTTGAACATCTAGCACATACCTTGAGCTCACTGTGTCTGACAACTAGCAAGACTAGAGTTTTTTTTTTATTTGTGTTTTTCTCTGTTTCTTTGTCTCTCTGTGTCTGTGTCTCTCTCTGAGATTGTCTCTGTGATTGGTTTTCTCTCTCTGTCTCTCTGGAAACGTGTCTGAGATTTGTGACTGTGAAACTAACATCTCTGTTTCTCTGTTTCACTCTCTCTGTCTCTCAAGTTTGAGTGTGGTGTGTTGGTGACTGTGTGTGCTGACCATCTCTTTTGATCGCTGTCTCTGTGTGTCGTGATCATTGTTGCTAACAGTCTCTGTGAATGTGATGGTGTTAGTGTTTCTGTTGTAGCAGTCTGATTGTGTTGTTGTTCCTTCCTATCAACTTTCTCTCAAGCATCAAAGTTTCAGTCTCATTCTTACCCAGAAGTTTGGTGTTGTCTCTTTTGTCCACTGAAGACTTAGGATAGTCTTGTGGGGAGACTTTAGGTGTTGACAGTGAATCGCTGACCTCAGACATCTGCGTGTTATACTGGGCCAAAGTAGTCATTTGCGAGTTAGGCTTGAGCTATTGAAAAGGGGACTTGGTATTGAAGTCCAAGGCCGCCCATTCCTGAGTCTGTTTGAATACTCATTGTGTTACGCACTCAAATAGATCTGTTAGGCAGAGCCCTAAGAGGGGCGTCGTCTGCTAATGTTCGTGATGTGACCGGAAGGGTCCGGTGTAGCGACTGAGACTGGCGACATCGAGTCGGCAGATATCAGAGACGCACATGTCACGTGACTTCTAAGACGGATGTCTTCAAAGTCACTGACATTCTCAAAGTAAGGACTGTCTTGTCCGAACGATGAGTAGTCGATCGAGGTGGACTTAGGCGCGATGAGCACCTAAGAAAAGATACTAGAGACTGAAGCTGAGGGGGCTTCAGAGGGAAGTATGTTCGAGGGAAGATTGAGTAGATTCAAGTTATGGAATCTAGTACAGGGTGACCGACTACTTATACTAAGTGGAAAGGGTTAAGGGCAAGGCTACCGTACTGTAGGTAAGGGTAAAGGGGAAACGGAAAGGGTATAGGTATGATGGCAGTATAGCCTGATTAGTGATGAGAGGTTGAATGTGGAATGAGACCAAGAAACATTGGAATGAACCAACGGTAAGAAATACAATGCGCAGCACGCACGAGTCAGATAAGAGATAAAGGAAGATAAGGAAAGCCACATTGGTGGCACGAGTCAGAACGAGTCATAGCCCGAAGGCATGTGCACACATTGGTGCGATAGGAGGGAGACGAGGGACGGGGGCGGTCCCGAGGATCCAATCAACAGATAGTCGATGAAGGAGTACGAGCCGGAAGGAGGCGAGGACGAGGATGAAGGAAAAAATGATAAGGGGGCAAGTAGCTGATGTTACTTGTAACACATTGTGAGTTCCTTGGCAGCAGGTTCAATATTAGGCTAAGAGTGCTATGGTAGCTCTGACTAGGTCTGACAGTAGTCTCACCTGTTTTGTTCTTGAGGGGGATTATCATTGTAACTCCACACAACTTGCTGCACTAAGTTTGTGTACGAATCATTGTTGCTGTGTGAAGTGTTAGGAGGAGTGTCTGTTTGTATTGTGTCATCTCTATACTGTTAGAGTGACTGTGTCTCTTGATATTTTTGCTGTTGTTTGGTTGTTGTTGTTGTTGATCGCTGACCAATCGGGTTCTGTTTCTGTTATCATTGTGCTTCATATCCATACTGTTGGATTGACTGTTGACTGTTGATTGTTGACTGCTGACTGTTGTGCAGAGCTATACATTGCTGACTGTACCTTAGGAGCAAAGACAAGCCACCCACGAAAGACCACATTATCAGTCATTGGTATTTGTTTGAATCACTGACCGTGGAGATATTTGGTTCTATAGGTGTTTATCTATAGATCATCTATCTAAGAAGACAGCGCTTCCTAATCACCGGACAATATATAGAAACTTCGAGTCCCTGTCACCCCGGGGGCCTGCAGAGTTCAAGCCTGTTCCTCCACCTCAACCCAGACAGCCTCCAAATAAGTTGATGTTACTACATTATTGATTGATATACATACACACATTCCTTTCCTCTGAATGTAGGCGTAATTTAGATGTCTCATCGATAAGATTTGTTTTTCCTCCTCTAACTGCTTTTATTTACTTGAGGAGTTGGACGAAACAACAAGATCCCACTTATTATAATACCTTGTCAATGGTTGGGTACGTTTGGACACAATTATAATAGCGTGACAATGTGAGCAACTTGTATGGTAGGCTCGCAATCCAATAGCAAAATTGTAATGCTGTAATCATGATTGTTATGCATTGCAAAACTTTATTCATTTTCTGTCATTGTGATAAGCATTTGTAGCTCTCTGCCTATCAAGGATCATTATTGCAAGACATGATGTATTCTCCTCACAATTGTGGTTGTCCTATAATATCCCACAATGTGCTTATGCTTATGTATCGCTTTGTCTAGTTCTGTCTTTGCATATAATCTGGTAGATTTTTGCTCTGATCTTGCCAAATAAATCTAGGAAAAACATCATCTCCCCGATTTCCTGATGTGCTTCACCTTCCCTGCAGTGACTGATGCATTTGACCTTGCGAACAATGAACACAGAAGGTACCTGGAGGCAATGGTTTGAATAAGACCATCATACAGACTACTGTATGACATAGACATGCAAAGTACGTTGTTCAAGTGGTCAACAACATATTCATTAACCTCAGGTGTTCAGACAGACACTAGATGTTATACTACTACCAACCATCATCGCACTTTACGGTTAATTAGAAAATAATACGACTAAGATTCTCAAATTTTCCTTCGTTCAACAGCAAGTTGTCATTGACAGTATACACGGTACTGATACCATTACATCACTAGTAATCTGAGTACAGTAGACATGCTCATAATGCATAAATAAATAAAATACAAACAAATCACTAGAAAATCATTCTTGGGTGCAAAAAATTATCCATTAACAGCAATATATGGACCAAGCTCATTTCTATGAATGGATGACTTGGTGTGTCTCGAAAAGATTGGATCCTGATTTGTTACAATTTTTTATGCATTATGCATTATGAGCATATCTACTGTACTAGTATCCAAGGAGAGTACTGTAATTAGTATTATTCGTGCACAGCCACTAGTGCCACCCATTGTGATTATTACGAACTGAGGCCTGAGGACTTAAGTCATTCCCCTTCGCGAACGTTTGCGACGAGTTCTTAATGTCGGTTTACCCAGCTCGATGAATCATTGCGTCTCCCTGAAATTGGAACTGGGATCCCGAATGCATTGCACTTGTACGACTCAGCCGCACACTCAGCACACGTCCCGTCTATGGCGCCCAAGGACTTGTAATACGTGTCTTTCTCTTCGGAGAAGCTCATGACCTTCGCAGACGCGTATCTTACAAGTAGATTACCCCTTGACGCAAAGTCTCTATTATGGGATCAGACGTCTATATAAGACACCAGTGGCCAACCAGAGATCGCAACTGCAGGGTCTCGCGGGCCCGTCTCGTCTTGTCTGTTACACTTTTTGTCAAGAATGGATGCTGTGACCACGCAATCTGTGACCCTATATTTGCTCCATGCGTAAGTGCCTATGTTGTTGTTTTGTATTGCATGCCTCAATGAACTATCTCTCGGCGTTACTATTGCTAGTCAACAGGCGGTCACCGTACGTCTTATTCGGATCAATCACCCTCTCGCCATCTGATGTGCCATTGTATCTCAAGTTTGTGGCTATCGCGAGTTTAACGATTCTGTGCTGGGATCATATGATCACCTTTGCGGACGAGGTATGTTTCATGACTATTTTATATCAACAATGGGCCTAAAGTATTTCTAGGTAGACTTAATCTGGTGTCAACCCAAAAAAATTCGTAAGTATAGGTTTTCCTCTGAAATATTATCCACATAATTCACTCCAAATTCGTTCTAGTTGGGTGGCTCTTTCTGCTGGTACGTGAAACCACATTTAACTCATTTCTGGAATTACATCCTCTTTCAAAACCAAGAATCGATATATCACGCCTCTGGGATTTGTTGTTAACATCATTGGTGAGGTCCGTCCTTTCGTCGTAGATTACATTTTGTTGAAATTTATAGTCAGTGTTGACCCTCCCCAATTGGCCCACAGAGGTAGGCGACTGCTTTGTCCATTGAGTGTCTCCAAATCTAATCGTCTGTATCATCTTAGAGGTTTGTGGCTTCCGATCTAAAGATGACTGGCATCAAACTGCTGTTAAGTTGCAGAAATTTCGTCAGATACCAAGGTGCCATGGCGATCCTTGGTGTCAGTATAGCAGAATTGATAATGCTGATGCGGTGGGTTCAGTTCAAGTGCGACGATGAGGTACCTCTTACAATTTTTGTAGGATTCGTGTTTTGTATCGGGAACGCAGGCTTGTCGTTGCGGCCGCAGGCTTTCTCTTATTAGTTCGGGTTGCACTTGAGGCATGTTTGATGACTCTTGGTAAAAGTGAGCACACCTTTTACTTGTGCAGATAACAGTGATATCATGCATTCCTAGTTGTTCCTTATGTTCAACAAATACACTGTGAGTACTGTTACCCGATGTAGCGACTTTTTACTGACTTTCTTGTTAGCCTGTCATGAGGATTATGATTTGCCGCTGTATGAAATCACTGTTCTCTTGGTTTTTTTTAAATTTTACTCACCATACTGCATCGTCAGGGCTCTCTCTGTTACTCGGGCATGGTTGCCTTTAGCATACGACACTGCCATTTTTGTCATGACCCTATGGCGCACCTATCATCGGAATGAAATTAGTCCTATTTTGCCAGCATTACAATCCGAGGGTATATTGTACTACATGTGGGTGCATTTCTCGATTCAAGCCAACCGCCTAATTTGTTGATCGAGCAGTGTTATATGTTCTGCTAACCTAGTACTGACTGTGATGATAGTACGAGCGCCCCCGGGCCTGAAGGGCGTTGCTGCTCAGTAAGTCTATCAGCACTGTGTCTGTGACTACAATGATTCATACCTGCTCACTAGATTAGTTTTCTTGTGAGATTCCCAGTTCGTCTGTCTGCTGCTATGCTAAACAACTTCGTGATTGCCTTGTCAGGTTAACGGTAAGTTGACGGGCAGGCCAAAACCATTCTTGATTGACATTTACTCTTGCTATAGGTTGTCATGACGTCGCGGGTCACGCTTCATCTGAAAAAGCAAGTCCGTGACCAACAGCCTTGTTCGCCTACGGTGTCAAGGTTTCCACCTGGACACCAGCAGAGGTTCTTCGCGGACCATGATTCACAGCTGAAATTACCATGTTCAACAACTCCTATTCCACCAATCCCAATAAAATTGGATCCCACGGACGATACTCAAACCTTTGGAAGTGTTGATGTGGAGTCTTTATGATCGTGCCATGCTCAATAACCCTAGGGCATTGTCCTAGCCATGGGTAGTACAATTTTGCCCTGCGCGCTGCGACGGAATGCTCAGGAAGCCTGTGCCATCCTCACACCAGTCAGCTGGGCAGGCAGTGGTAGCGCTGGCACCGGAACAGTATGTTTTCTGTTACGTCTGTCATTCTTGTTTGACATTGTGCAGGAACGTGCACTGTATCATACGTGTTTCGACCTCCATTTTGGATGACCGAACACCTGCGCCTTCTGAATGCCATACGCGCAGTCACATAGTTACGATCACGCAGTTACATGGTCGTTATTTTGATATTGAACCAAGAAATGTATACATATCTTACAAAGGCAGGATACATTGCAAGGAGGATGATCGTGGAAGCTATTTATGTTAGATCCTGTATGCACCGGCCTTTTATCAACTCTCCTTATCAGGCCGGGGCCACAATCTACATGCCAACGTCCCACGCCTGGCACGCCAGTCCCATCCCTGGTGTGATACAATAAGATATGGGCTCGGGGCACCTGTGCCCCTCCATACCTCTGAAGTCGCGAATACACTGATATGAAGGCGTACCCTCATCAGTCCGCCGTTCCCACCGGCCAATTTAGACGCGCACAAGATGACTCGTGGACCATTTGCGACATCACGTTCAATGGTACTTTTCCGAGGTAAAAGCATCAAGTACTGTCCTACAGAGAGCACACACTCTCAAAATGGATATATATAAGTACCACTTCTTCACTCCACGCAGCGATGCATGGTACATAGTACAACGTACAACACCGGATGATCATCGATCATCGATTGATGGCGCTCGGTGGCTTTTATCAATATTTCAATAGCCAACTACTTAGTCCACAGTGACTAGTGATGCATTGATGACTCGGACTCTGATCGGGCGCTGTGACAATGCCATCCAGTATAAATGCGTTCATCACAACCTTGCAAACGTTTCCCTCACCCTCCACAATTCCATTCAGACAACCTTTCATGTTTAACAATCTTAAAATATTCCCTGAAGCACACACCTTACTGACTTGCTTAGTCTTCACCGCTGAATTCGCACTCACCCATGGCGGCAGAATCAATAAAGAATGAAATGCTCCAGGTCATCTCAGGCTCTGAAACGTGAGCCGTGCTTGGCCGTTGTAGTACATCTTTGCATAGTTGATACCTACCGTTTTAGGCGCCAAACGATTGTACGTTTTTCCGCCTAGTCTGTTGTTGCCAGTAGCTGACATAGATATCCTATGACTTAGTATGTCGGGATCTCTGGTTTCACCATATTGGTCTGGGACCACATTATCACCAGCGCAGATGAGGTATGACACCAGCAAAATTGGTGAAACTCGAATTCATCAACATATTCCGCGCCAGATTGAATTGATATGGAAACAACCTAAGAGGACCTGTGAGTGGCATCTTGGATACGGATGTGTACTTGTATCTGAACCTGTTTGCTAAGTTATATATTTGTTTCTACTGGTATGCACACGTACTGACAGTGTCTGCTAGTAAAAAAGCTCATATGTCCGGGTTGATGTTCCAGAACCGATATCTTACTCCTCTCGTCTTCATTGTTAATCTGGTTGGTGAGTACCTCGCTTTTGATTTACAGTTTCACCTGTGACCTCTACTAGCATATACCCTACCTTCATGGGACTACACAGTGAGTTTTGATGTTTTAATCTATCTGCCAGTGATGAATCTTACAACCTTGATTGCAGAGGTCAGGATTGCGCTGCATCACTGGACTTAGTTAACATTGTTCAAGTTGCCGCCATTTTGTTCGATATGAAGGGGCCACCACAGCTATAGGCATTGAGATAGCTGGGTTGATGATGCTGCTACGGTGAAATTTATCTCTCCTCCCAGCAAACATCTACTAATGATCGAGAATACAGCGTCGTTGCAATATATAAACATCAATGGGCTGCCATCGCGCCGGCGGTATTTTTACTGCTAGCTTGGATTGTAGTGACTGCATGGCTATTGAGTTATGGTGAACGTATGGTTTCATCATCTTCGCCACACAACGGATGAGTTTACAACATGGTTCTCAGCCGTTCCCCACTTATCGGACAGCATTCACTGTGAGATACTCATTTTTCGCGCATGACAACCTTGTTCACGATTTTACAGCTTGCAGCATGGTGTTCAATTCGTGTGTCCTTATCAGAAATTATGCAGATGCGAGTTTTGAGATACTTTCTAGCGGAAAAATTGCTTCAGCTTCAGCTTGGTTGCCTCTGCTTTACGACACGTATGTCTTTGGGTTGACGTTGAACCGCACGCTTCCTTCGATCCGCAATAAAGAAGCGGGGCATATTATCCGCACTCTTTTTGCAGACGGGCTACTGTACTACAGGTGCGCAAACCAGGCTCTCCAGATAGCATGCCTCACCAAGCATACAGCGTCATCTGCACCATAAATCTGATATTGACAGTCATGATTATCAGAGCTCAACCAGGGGTGAAAAACATCGCCGCACAGTACGCATATCTCCATCACAGTGTTTGCTCAGATTTTTATTGATTTACTCGCTGTGCATAGGCTTGAACTTCTGTGAGTGTTTTTTTTAGTAAACCACCAATAGCAGCGATTGATTGAGATGATTTTGTCACAGTCTCACAGTGAGCACGGCTTGAAGTTCGTATCCGTCATAGAGTAACAGTTTCACGGTCAACAGGTCACAATGATGTCAAGGATTACTCTTAACCTCAAGAAGGAAGCATTTCATAAACCTGGTCACCGCCACTTACAAGCGGAAAGTTTTATTATGTCCACACGCAATAATGATACACACACACCCTCAGGTGAAGCGATCGTGCTCAGCCGATTGCGATCACATTCTGTCTCCTCCGCAGCGCGCGTCGAGTCGAGCAGCCATGCGCGATCTGGCTCGGCAAGTTTCGTTGTACCCCCTGTGCGAACTATCACCTTCGCAGAGGATGCATCAATCTCCCCTACTCGGCCTCGCTTAAGCACGATAGATTCTACCACCGATATTGATCCAACTATCCTGAGTCGTAGTAGTGACAGTCCAGTTAGCGAACATGTCGATTGGCCTTCAGCTTCGAATTCTGACCAGCGAAATACTGCAGACATTGTGTGATTTACATCGGTTCTCTACCTAGTTCGTTGTGACAGCTATATGTACTAGTAATTCAGGATGCGAATGCAATGTACTTATACTAAATTTATATCAATTATTAGACCCGGTCACTTCAAGGAGTGACAGTGACAGGTGAACGAAGACTTCCAAATGAGACTGGGTTCTGCTCAGTGACCTTGGCTCATTGCTCTTCGTCAGCGCAGGACGCGACACTCAAACTTAGAGAATCATTTGCGAGCTCCCTTTTTGTCTTCCTGGTTTTAAACGCTTTAAATACCTTCTAAAGTCATCTGGACTTGGACGCCAGGTCCATCCACCACAGGCCATCCTTCTATACCCACCTTGATACCGAACATATCCCATCCAAGGCTATGGCAACTCCTTCGTCGACTTCAACCAGTCCCGGAAAGCGCGCGAGCACATCGAAGCTTCTCAATGATTATGTTTGTTTGCATCGGACACACATCGTGGCACTGTACTGAATATGTGTGCAGCAACTCGGGGACTCTCTTGGAAAGGGCGCGTTTGGTCAAGTCTACCGTGAGTAATGAGATTTCTGTAAAGATAGACTTTATGCAAGCGTTGATGTACGCAGGGGCACTTAACTGGGCCACTGGTGAGACCGTGGCCGTGAAGGAAATACAACTTAGCAACATACCAAAGGGAGAGCTCGGGCAGATAATGGTGAGTCGGAGACTCATAATCAAGGGCTTCGGGCGCGTTGTTCAAGACTTCATCCTAGTCCGAAATCGACTTACTAAAAAACTTGAATGTATGTGGCTCTCGAAAGTTATAGTCTGATCGTTTATCCGATTGATTCCTTAGCACCCTAATATCGTCAAGTACAAGGGCTTCGTCAAGACCAGGGAGTACTTATACATTATTCTTGAGTTAGTCCCCATTCCACTTCAACTGAGAATTAACTGAGCATATATACCGTGTCAGGTTCTGTGAAAATGGATCATTGCATAATATCTGCAAACGCTTCGGTAAATTTCCGGAGAACCTGGTAGCGGTCTACATTTGTCAAGTCCTGGAAGGGCTCGTATACTTGCACGACCAAGGTGTCATCCATCGTGATATAAAGGGCGCGAATATCTTGACTAATAAGGATGGCTGTGTAAAGCTTGCTGACTTTGGAGTCGCTAGCTCTACTACAACTGGGGCCATTCATGATGATGCCGTTGTGGGCAGTCCCTATTGGAGTGAGTTGTCATGGTGTGTGTCTTCGTCGCGACTTATAGCTTTCTACGCTAGTGGCACCTGAGGTTATCGAGCAATCTGGTGCAACTACAGCGTCAGACATCTGGTAAGTATAATTCAACTGCTTGCGAATCAACATCAAAGTTGATATATTATTCAGGAGCGTTGGTTGTGTAGTTATCGAACTTCTTGAAGGCAAGCCTCCATATCACTTCCTCGACCCCATGCCTGCGCTCTTTCGGATCGTTCAGGATGACTGCCCTCCTATTCCCGATGGTGCTTCACCGATTGTCAAGGATTTTCTACTTCACTGTTTTCAGAAGGACTGTAACCTCCGAATCTCAGCCAAGAAATTACTCCGTCATCCTTGGATGATATCTGCAAAGAAGCAGATGAACATGGCCGCGGGAAATGGACAGAGGTCTCCAGAAGGCGGGCCGCAATCATTCCCTGACAGCAGGAGACCCAAAAGCAACTATAACTACGACGAGGCTGTCCTCAAGGTACAGGAATGGAATGAAGCCCTTAAATGTGATCTATCATTGTTTTTATCAATTCCACACTCATATTCCCTTAGCCCCTACACGACCCACGAAGAAAAATTGTCGTAACTCCGTCTCTGAAGGCCAACCACCATCCCCGACCCGTGGCGGTCGAGATAAACCTGCGGTGTCACTCCTTCAGCATTCAGTCCTTGGTCTCCAGGCTTCGACCTCTGGCAACTCTGTTCTCAAAGGACCCAATATTGCCCCGGGAAAGCCTTCTGCCCCCGTCGCTCTAATCGAGAAGATTCGGGAGCCGCTAGCTTTTGTCCTTCAGCCTCCAGAAGAGCAGACAGACAACTGGGACGACGACTTTGAGGATGGACCCTCATTCACCAAATTACAAGGTACGTGCGAGATTGAACAAGAGTCGTGATCTTACTTTGTGTTGCTATGTACTTAGCCTCCGCCTTGGAGAAGACGTCCATGGAAGATGAAAAACCGGAAGGTGATGATAATGCGCAGACCATCAGACCAAATCGTAGCCCAGCTGGCCCCGGGACAATACCACTCGCAAGGGCACCGTCTGCCGATATTGTGCCCATCGTCGAGGACTATTCCGACATCGCAACCGAGGAGGACGAGCTCCTACTTCAAGAGAAAGTGGCAGATTTTAAGGTTAGTGCATCCCTTCCTTTCTTTTCCTTATTGCTGACCGAGAACAATGTCAAAGATGAAGAATTCGGTACGCAGGGGACTCTTTCATCCTGACGATATCAAAGTGCTCGGACTCCTTTCTGGTTCTCCCGGTCCTATGTCTGCACCCCTTCCTAGTTTGTCACGGAAAGCATCTCGTCCGTCTCTCAGTCCTATTTCTGGCATGGGCCTACCACCTACAGGTTCGATACGATCACATTCCCGCTCATCTTCCTTTGTTGGATCTAGTTCAAGTGCCTCCGGCTCTTTTGGTCGCGCAGAGGCAAAACGTGCAGCTAGCCATGCCGAATTTGGCAAGTATGCTGAGGAGGATGATGAGGACTACGATGATATCTTTGGAAAACCTGGGGGAACTAGTAAGTAGTCTTATGCCATTGTATGAATGATTTCAAACTCTAGCTTCGCAGCTCTCGAGCAGCCGATGCAGACCTTGCAACTCAACACAAAATTGTCAAACAAGTCATGGGTAAGGCCTGTATTTTATTTCGGACATTTTATGGCGATTGATTTCAATGCAGCTCGGAGACGATTCGGACGAAGACGATCCTTTCGCAGAGGCAAGTTTTTATGCGTCATCCATGAATATTGGCTGACTAAATTCTTCAGATTGACGAGGGTTTTGCTGAGGATGACCTTGAGACTAATCTTCAACGCGACAAGAATGCTCGGTTGTGCAACATGGTGAACCAACTGATCGATGAACTAACACCCTCGGCACCTGACTTCCAACTGCGTGATGCTTGTGATCAACTGGTCAGTTCAATCAAACTCAATGGTTTTATAGTCTGATGCATCGCCACATTTCTAGATCAATATCATGACAGAAAACCCAGATATGCTTGTGCAGTTGGTGTCTTCACATGGTATGCTGGCGATTTTAGAGGTACTGGAAGGCAAGTGTTCCAGGGACGTCCTCATGAAACTTCTTCGCATGATCAACTTAGTAAGTCGGCGACCTAATTTTGATCCATGAACTTGACGTCGTCGGTTAGTTGGTCACAAGCGATCTTGGGTTCTTAGAAAGCTTCTGCCTCATCGGTGGGATTCCGGTCATGATGGGTATTTGTCATGACCCAGGAGAGGTTGATAATGAAGGGCTGACATCCTGTAGGTTTTACTTCAAAGAAATATTCCTCTGAGTGTCGCGTGGAGGCATCCAACTTCATCAGGTTACTCTGCCACACATCTGTATTGACGTTGCAAATGTTTATATCGTACGTGCTTGTCTGACTTCTCTTTATGCACCTGTTCACATCCCGTAATAGATGTCGTGGCCTGAAAGTTCTTGTCGATCTGTTGGACGAGGACTACACAGATCAGACTGAGCTCGTCGTCGACGCTCTCAACGGCATAGGAAGCGTGTTCGAATTGCAAACTCCAACGACTAAGAATGACTTCTGTCGTATGTTTATTCGCGAAGGCCTCCTCGATCCCCTCTCCTCCGCTTTGCTCAATGTCATGGGTAATTCCAGTCCCAATGCAATCGAGATGAAGCACAAGATTATACAGATCCTTCTCGTATTCTCACAAGTGACACAAAGCGATATTCACGTACGTAACGCCATGGGGACTCGGAAGATTGTCAGACGTGAGATTTTCGTGTCAATGATTAGATTCGATGCACCTGACTTGGAATTATAATGGCAGGTTTATTACGCGCGTGCGAGCTTCTGGAGATGGAATGCCTGGTTCAGATGCTGAAAGCTGTGAAGCACTTGTCCATGAATGCTAATCTGCTCGAGGTGCTTCAAAACACTAACGCCATCGAGATACTCATCAAGCTACTGGATGAAGAGAAGACCGGTCCTCATAGCACGGTAAGCCATATGAGATCACGACTTGGGCGTCGCCCAGATTAAATGGTACTTCAGGAAGTGTCAAATCACATTTTCCAGACCTGTTATAACCTCTGTCGGCTGAACAAGTCACGACAAGAGGAGGCGGCTCAAGCCGGCATTATTCCGTGCTTGAAGCGAGTAATTGAGACCAGCTCGCCTCTCAAACAGTTTGCGTTGCCCATTCTGTGCGACTTGGCTAGCGCGGGGAAAAGCTGCAGATATATCCTTTGGCAACACAATGGTCTCGCGCTTTACTTGAAGCTTCTAGAGGACCCATACTTCCAGGTCAGCGCCTTGGAGGCGATTCTGTCATGGTAAGGAGAATTTTTAATTGCGTCCTGTACTACGACTAACGTAAACTCAGGTTGCAAGATGAAACGGCCAAGATCGAAGATGAGCTGGTCAGCTCTGAGTCTCTCGAGGCGTTGCTTAAGTGCTTCGTAACCGCAAAAGCCAACTCCTTTGAAAACCTCCTCGACCCCCTTCTCAAAATCTGTCGTATCTCCACCCCGCTCACCATCGGCCTTGCCAAATCTCAATTCTTCAAGCGCATCATTGACAGGCTCAACCACAGCCGTGCGGTCGTTCGTCTCAACCTCTTGCGTATCCTCCGGACCGTTTGCGACGTGCACCCAAACCGTGCAATGTTGGTGGAACGCTACGGATTGCATGAAATGGTCATGAAACTTAGCAAGGATGATGGTGCTGTGTTGGTGCGCGAGCTGGCGAGAGAGATTCTACCTGCACTAGCCCCTGCACTTAAACCGGTGGGCAACAGGTCTCTGCTCAAGGGGCATGATACTCCGAAAAGCGGTCTGATAGCACCCAAGAAAGCCAGGCGGACAGCATCGGAGACGTCTGCGATGATGGGACCAAACTCGTCGTTGCTGGGTCTTAGCATGGGTCCCCCTCCAACATCGAGGACAGGGATAGAGAGGACGTACTCATCATCCAGGCATAGACTTGGTGATATATCTTGGCAATCTCATGGAGGACAAAGATGAACTATTTATTGTCTGGTTAGACTGGATGCTTTTTTATTAATTTATTGTCCGTTCTTTATCATTAGCTTTGCATGCATCGTCATCACAGACAGTACTCTTATTTGCGCATTACCATATATCCTCGCTAATGATGGCATGCAGAGAACAAATAACTCGATTAACAACGTAATCTGGACATAAATTATGAGCAAATTAGGAAACAGCGGAGCAAGGTAACGGACGTACAAGTAATCTACTTGCGAGCAAAGGGTATCTGGAAACCAGAGACCAGTGCCCTTGCACGATTCTGTGCACCAAGCCCCACTGCATTGGTGACAAAGTGTATGTGCATACCATAAGGCTTGGGGTACGAGTCCAAATTGACCTCAATTTGAGGGAAGTAGCCCATGGCCTCTGGCGGCAAGCCAAATGAAACGACACCAGCCACGCCGCTCGGAGATTTCATTGTTGATGATGCGGGAGGCATGACTATGCCAGGGAACTCTCGAATCCTCGGAAGTACAAACTCCACCAGGGTATTCAAAAAGTCGTACATCTTGGGTCCCTTCAACTCGACCTTTGCACCGATTGGGATACCAGGGCGCATCCATCCGCCGACGTTCTTTTTCCCCTTCACGATCTGCACTCCACCGCTCGAAGGACGACCTCCACCACTCTCGGTTTCTCCCGACATTGCACGGAACGCGGCGATGAGACCAAGTAGATTACTCCGGTTGGTAAGTGCTTCCTTCATCATGGAATGAATGACTATTTTTTCTAAATGGACGATATTCTGAGAAGTGGTCGGAGGTGCCGGCTTTTTGCCTGCCTGGGAGCCACCGACAGGAGGGTTATAACGGTTTTTAGTGTAAGGGTCATTGGGGTCGTAAGTGAGACGGATTTGGCGTGGTGATGATGGTGTGCCAGACTCGTGATTGTAAGTCATGTACATCAAGTTGTCTTGAAGAGCAGTGTGGTAGTGGTCCATGAGACGACATGGGTGCGTGTCGCGGACAATGAGATTCCTGACGTGCGGCACTGGAAGACCATTCTCGTCACGCTTGAGGAATTTGCGAATTTTTGGAGGCTTTCTGAAAGGACGGACTGCCTGTGCACTGTGGGAGATGCGAGCTGCTGCTGCACTCATCTGAAAACTATGTTTGTGAGAATAGATTCAGGTATCAGAAAACCGGAAAACGAACTGGGGGACGCGAGAGTCGAAGTGAGAAGCAAAGCGATGGACCAAGTATGGAAATATTTATTTATGAAATATTTTCATACTTCTTCCTCGGGTTAACGGTCAGGTCAGCCTCAGTGCTAATTCATTCGCAGTCCTCAACGTTGTTGACGACGTCGACGGTCGACTTTATTTCTTTTCATTTAATTGTTCACTTAATGGCTTTGACGGAAACAGCGCAATCAGCTCTCCCAACACTATGGGACGATACAATCGTGCCCACTCTTCGCAAAAGTACGTATATAATACCATAACGTTCCTGTCCAGAAGCCCCAGGCATCGAATTCTGACGGACCCGCCTTCTCTTCTTTTTTTTCAGGACTAGAAAGCGAAAGTCGTATCCTTGCTAAACGCCTGTCAGTGGCATCTTTTTCTTCTACGGACGACACCCCAAGGTCGAACGCTCCTTCAATTTCGGGCCATACTCTGCGAGATCAGGCCCCAAATTCACTTTATTCTCCGGAACACAAGAAACTTAGTGCTATACCCAGACCAAGCTTGCAACAATCAAGAAGTCCTTCAGAAGCATCCCGTGCCAACGGCGCTTCCTCACACAATCCTCCATATACACGCGCTCGCACAGTTTCTCAACCATACTTGTACGATTCTTCTTCTCAACTTAACGGCTACGCGAACGGACACGCTCTACCCACCCCAGATCCTTCTCGCCCTACTTCCCCCCGCATCTCTGACGTGAAACCCACCCGAATACCGATGGCCGCACGGGGGAGAACCATAAGTACTTCCAGTCATGACCAGAGTATCGCGACTGGTACAGAAAGTCGCAATGACGTCCTTTCCTACCAGACGCCTACTTCTGACACGTCTCCTGATCTTTGGATTATTGACGAGACTGACCCTACTTTGTCAAATGCCACCATTCGACATCAGAGATCAAATATCATGAATGAACCCGCTCCATTTGGGGCGAGTTCTATCAGTTCCTCTATTCTCTCCAAAAAGTCTCACCACGACACTACCTTTGCGCCTCCGCGGCCTTCCAATGAATCAGAAGAACGTCCATTTGAACATTGGTACAGAGGAGACGTACATAGGAACGGTGGCGTCGGGGAATTGCGTGTAGGTAAACGCATGGAGATGTTGCGTATCGCCAACTTCGGACACGACACGAAGTCAAGCACACACCGTTTTGCACCTCGGGACGTCTCTGCCGCTTTGGAGTACAGCCGTAGACGAAAGAGAGCTGATAGTGCCTCTGGCCTACGGGAAAGGGAGAGTCTGTATCTAGATGAACAGAAAGCAAAAGAGGCGGATATGGTGCTGGACGAGAGCCCACCTACGGATATTGATGGTGATCATGACGCTGACCCAGAGGATTTCTATAACGCATACGACGGTACAGAAGACGTCACCATTCATCCTCCATACAGTGCGTCTACGCCTGGTCTAGTCAGGCTCTCTGCGGAGAATACCCGCAGTGAAGCACACCCTACTATCAATACCGAGATGCCACCCTCTCGAATACCCGTTGCACGTACAGCCTCGGAACCCCTCAGAGCCAATACATCCATTGAAACGACACGCAGTTCCGAAACTCTGATCCCCTCTCCTCCTGATTCCATCACAAGTCCCCATCGGCGGTCATTTTCACGATCACAGAGTCAATCGCCTGATCATCCAGCAAGTAATAAACGTCGCACGAATAGACCGGTGTCGCCTTCAACACCGAAGAAGTCCAAGACGAAAGCGAAGACGCCACCTTCCGCTGCACGACGGAAGGAGGACAATCGCGGTTCGGTCGCTTCATATCCAACTCCCGAAGGAGATGGTATGGTTGACGCCATACCCACGTGGACCCAACCAATTCAAAAGTCGGGCACCTGGGACGAGGTGATAAGATAAGAGTAGTTATATTGATTGTTTCGCTGATCGCTTTTCAGGTGGTATTACCGGTTGTTGCGCGCAAGAAAGGTCTGGATGGTCAGTTCGAGCAAGCAGATGGCAGCCCTCGTCCAAAACCTCCCGGTCCTGTTGCTCCAGTAAGTGCATTAACAATTATCGTATCCGACCAATTGCTGATGTTTGCATCAGGCGCCTGGCACTTTTGGTTACGATTACTCCAAGTATCGTGCGCCTCGGGGACAGGAGATACCAATGGATGAATTCGGCAAGCTACCAGGCATGATTCAGGAGACACCAGCATCGAGACCTGAAAGCCCACCTCCGGCACTGCTACCCCTCACCGAAGAACCAGAGAGACCTATCCGTCCAGCCCGTCGGAAAACGACCCCACGTCCTCCTGATTCTCCAGCGCCGTTCTCGCACTACCGACGTACAGATATTCCGACCATCAACGTTACGCGACCATCCACTGACCTCGAGTCACCACAGCAAGTACCTCATGATGAAGACACAGGCGCTGGGTGCTGCAAGTGCGTTGTTATGTGATTGCGACGATATCGAAGCATGTGCTCGTTCTCTTCATTGTCCCATGTTTTCACTTTTCACTTTCCCTTTTCATCCACATTTGCACATATGTCATTTTCATTCCTCTCTTAGCCGCGTCGTTCGGATTTCCTTGCATATTGGGGTTCCTTTTTTTCCGCATACCTTACCACTCAAGACAACTGGAGTGTCATACCTCTCGTTCACTTTCCGCTCCGTACCCTCCTCCACTCATAACATTGCCCTGTCGCAGAACACATCCGTCTCTCTTCTTATGCCGCTCCTTTACCTTGTATATTATGGATCCATGGCCGGTATACACTCTCAAACTATTTTAGTGCTCTAGTACTCCGGATTGACTCACTTACATATACATCATCAGTGATATTCTTGTTCTGCATCGCGAGTTGCAAGTGCAAAAGTAAACATTAATAGTATGACATTATTTGGGATATGTGGACGGAGAATCGAGAGGCAACCACTAGACTCGGTCAATTTTCAAGCTCAAGGTGTTAACATCCTATCGTACAACTCAGAGGCAAGGCTCAGTAACAGTAAACGACCTGCTAGCTCCAAGCAGTCCATCTTTGTCTACACGCACTTCCTTCGTCGAGAACTGAACATCTACGTGGTACGTCCCAACTTCATCCCCCACGTCTACATGTGTCATATTCGCAAACTGCGCAAGTACTTTCCCGTCCTTCGACCAGGTGATGGTGTAGCCTTCCTCGCTGGAGACAGGATGTTCTCTAAACTCAGCAAGCGGAACCAGATCAACCTCGAATGTTCTGTGGCGGTCATCCCCACACAGTGTCTTGAAGTTGTCGATGAGATCGATACGTTTGAGCAGCGATATCCAAAGGCCCTCCAAGCACACGTTGCAGAAATTGGGCTTGGTGACGCTGCGCATGAGACAATCGTCGTTCGTCGGACGATAAGACGTATCATTATCCATGCTGAACCTTCACACCAGTCAATAGCTTAAACTCCTTAACATAAAAACCACACACTCACGTCGGGAATATGCCATAGTGACCAAGCGTTGCGTTAAATCTGTCATCGGTGTTAGATCTACCAAGTTAATGGATAGGCGTGATCACAACATACTCAGCTTCTGTCCCATATTCCAGTACCTCTACGCTGCATAGTTGCGCGCTTCCTTCAAGAGCGTTGTTCTTCAGGACAAACGAGATTTCATGCACGCCAGCGCTCAATGACGTGTCCTCATAACATCATAGTGCCACCTATCCACGCCGATATCCTTTCTTGGAGTCCAGCGTAAATCGACTTTGTCGAACAAGATAACCAAGTCATCTTGATCTGGGAGGCCAGACAGCGAGAACTTGATCAGGTGACGTGCGTAGTTTCCTGATGACAAGAAAGAAATGGTCCATGGTTGAGTCGTATTCAGCAGTGTCCACGGATACGCTTGCATCGGCATCGTAGACCGTTCTGCGCGGAACAGGTTTGCATCATCTTCCTTGTGCTCGAGCCAGTGTGTCCATGTCACGTCTGAGAGATTGTGAACAGCATTAACACCGAAATAAGCAAATCCTCCGTCATATTCTTCGCCTACGTCGATGATGGAGTGACCAATCTCGTGTCGAAGGACTAACGCCCCGTTTGCTAGGGAGGCAGTAGTTGTCCTTCACACCTTTTGTGAGTATGTCGAAGATAACAAATTAATGCGGAATCGCAGACATACGTATATTCTCCGCCAAGTCCTGCGCATGGGAGTGGTCAGCGTGATGCGGTACTTAAAGATAGAAACGGGATATCTTACCACCATATAATGGATCATTGCCTTTAATAATGAAGTAAGCCTAAGGGAAGTAGTTGAAGGATGTATCCCTGGTCCAAAACACGTACCAAGGAGAATCGCATAGTTACATTTATTTCCAAGAGACGCACAGGCCATTAAGGCAACATCAGAGTTATTTGCGTATAGGCCCCTCAATTCCGTGCCATCGCGGTATAACCCAAAGGGAGTCCTAGGTCGGAATGTGTATGAAGTAAAGGATCATGGATATGATAAGCACCTTTTAGCTTTCCCATTGACACCCACGCCGCTCTGGAGGATGGATCAGCCTAAAGCTCAGTAGCCAATTTGAAAGCACTAACTTCTTGACTAGGTGAGAACACAGCCCAGAAGTTCAATAGAGGCCTGACGGTGGAGAACGTCTGATTTGATGATAAGTCGGTGACCAGACGCATTGCGTCATCAAGAAATTTGTCTCTTTCACGCATTGTGTCTGTACATTAGGCAAGGACTGAGGGTGTGACATGCAGAAAGACAGATGAAAACGCACACCCGTCAGAGAAGAAAGCAAGATCGATACGGTTGTCTGACGGCCCAGATTGCAAAAGACTGACAACTTCTAGCGGCGGAACTCGTACATCTAAGATAATACCATGCAGCACCCCTTGATCCCTAAATGACACCTGCGTCTCGAGTCCACTGAGTCCAACAAACGATAAGTCATTCGAACACTCGAGCTGCGCACGAAGCCATAATTCGTTGGTGTTATATGATAGAAAGCGTATTATTTCTTTGTCGCCAAGTGATCCAGCAGATGGTACAACATTGTGCTGCCTGATGACTTGCCCTGATGTCGCTGGCAAGAGACTCTTGTGCAACTGTGTTTCGCCGAAAGACACGATGTCACATGAGCTTATAGTATTGGTTTCCCGTCGAAGTGTCAGTTGGTATGGTCGAGAATTCCAGTATGCACCGGTACTAGCTGCGAGGGTAACTGCAACAACACTAGTAGCCAGCAATGTCTTCATGTTTCATTGAAGTCACCAATGAAGTTCGGAATAAATGATCAATTTACACAACACCAAATAAAGCAGCAGCGAAATCTGCGCATCACCTGCGGAACTGAATCACTCACTCGCACGTAAAAGTCTCTCCACCATGGCAGTCAATCCCAACGAAGATACGGAATTGTGAGCAAATATTATCTACTTCCTCTATACTTGCCTATATTCGTGCCCAGCAACGATGCTCTCCGCAAGTACGGCATCATCCCTCCTAAAGAAACTACTCCCCCTACCCCTTCACCTCCGAGCTCTCCAAAGTTACACGACGTGCTCGATGATCTCACCCCAGAAGAGCTAAAAGAGCTGGGCGAAGAGATCACTGACGAAGACCTAGACCGTGATATCGATTCATATCGGAGACAGCGATTAGCTCAGGAGCAACTGCAGCAGAAACGCGCCCGCTTTGGGAGAGTCTATCCAATCGGACGCGATGATTATACCAGGGAGGTCACTGAGGCTAGTAAGATTGATGAAGAGGGTGATGAAGAAGAGAAAGGCACTGGCGTGATATGCTTCTTATACAAGGACGGGTTAGTTCTCCTCTGTTCCTGGCAGCTCAGGTATTCATCTGAGTAAACAACCAGAATTCCTCGGAGCGACAGAACTTTTGGGCATATACACGCTCTAGCAAGTCGATATCCGCACTCAAAGTTCGTGTCAATCGTAGGCAACAAATGCATTGCAGACCTCCCAGATTCTCGAGTTCCCATGTTAATTGTATACCGCAAGGGGGAAATACGGAATCAACTTATTGCATGGGGAGCTGATCGTGAAAGACAGCTTGAAGGCAAGCTTATCCTTAATACTATTGCATATCAAGTCTAAGAATTATTGCAGAACTCGAGGCACTTTTGATTTTATGTGGCGCCTTAGATATTTCCCGCGGGCCACTGGGGGAACGACGAGCGACCGATGGCGACGACTCTGAAGAAGAGGATGATGATTATACGTCTTCTCGCATGCGGTCTGCTGCCACAAGTACGAATACTCGGGCACCCAAAAATGTACGGGCGCAAAGCAAGAAAGACGACTCGGACTCGGAATTTGAATTTGACATGTAGTCTGCAACAGTGTCAGAATTTGAGAAGTATCAAAGTTTAGCACTTAGTGCTTAACCCTCCTTTGCTTCGTGCTGTGAATCTTCTGGCTGATCTGCCTTCCGTTGGCTTCCATTGGTACGAACCTGCACTTTTTATGGTATACAAGAGTTTCCTTATGTACCGAGCCCCAGATTTGCCCCAGATGTACTTACTCCACTTGGGACGTTGCAAAAAGGGTAGTATTTTGAAGGTTAGCGAAACAACCCGAGGAGAGGGATGTCAGAAAGGTAATACTGAAACTTGCCGTTGGCCTAGGTTGGCCTGCGAGATTTCTTCTCGATATGTGGTCTTCAGTTCCGCTTGGGAGCGCGATCATGATGTGGAAAATTCTCGATAACTGCAAAACTGGTTGGCAGAACGTTTGCTCTGCCGGGCGCCCCCAACATAATTTAGGCCGCCTGGCACGTAGATCTTTGGAAATAGGTAGATTCTGACCAGATTTCCCGCGATCACTACCAAGTTCTTCCGTGGAGGGCGCAGGCGGTCGTGTTGCGTACTAATAAATGGGTGATTTTATCCATAGGTCATTGATCATGATCAGGGTCAATGTTTATGTGTCCTCGAAAGACAGGGCATGTACCTTTGCAACTACATGCATGCGCTCAACGACACTTACATTTACCCAGTCAAGACCACATCATCTAAACGACTAACAGGAGAACTATTGTCTCGCCATAGCACCTCCCAGGAAAGATGACGGCCTTCGATGAGCCGGAGGCTAAGCTTGAAGTTCTTTTAGACACCATCAACTCCTCAGCTGCACGCCAAATGATTTCCAAATCATTAACATATCTAAGAGGCAGGTCGTAAGCCTAACCTTTGGATCGTCTGTGGCGGATCTGGCATTGGAGCATTTTCCACTCCTGTGGCAAAAATGTTCCCTCACCTTAGGATAACCAATTGGGATCCTCAGAAGTCATAGTACAAGCACAAAATGCGAGTTCAGGCATCCAGTGCACCATTAGGCATCGATTAGGCGTGCTCCTAAGGTCCATCCCAATCAATTTTCTCGAGGACGCACCTAAATAATCTTAGGAAGTATGTCTACTACTATGCAACTTGAAGAGCTCAATCGCGCTTTCATTCGTCACCGTCTTACTAGGTACATGACCCACAATTTTGGCCAGACACCGAGGTAGCGGGCCGGCGATGATCCTCCGTAACATTCGCAAGGCAATGAAACCAAACAGCCAGATGCTTGGATGGCTCGTGTCGTGGATATTTAGTGCCATGGCAGTCATGGATCGGCTTGCATGGAATTGTACGAGATGCTATGTACAATTTTCTGTAAGTTACCATGTAAACTATGATCAACCAGATATCCCCGACTCCCGCGTTAGTGGAGGGAGGACTTTGTCGAACGCAAACGGATTCCCATCACTAATGGCAACAAGATGTGCTGTGCTCCCTTCCGCATATAGCCGTCCAGCGGTAGTGGTTCCTCAAATACCCGATACCCAATACATAAGGCTACAGCGTTCATATCCGATTTTGCATTGCCTGATTGCGAGCTGTCATGCTCTGGCATTATAACGAGCATGCCAATTAACATGGGCTGGCTACCCCGCCTATGTGTTCGAGAAAGTAAATGCAAAAAAAACCACTGCAAGAACAGAACGGATCACAAACTTACCCAACGACAATCTCGATTACTAAGTTGCATGTCAACACACATGGCAGTAACCTGAGCATGATGAATTCAGGAAAGATGGGAGTCGGGGACTTGGCGCGTGAGCGTCGTTACCCATAAGAATATTTTCAGATATCAAAAGGTTTTGATGTCTGAAACTGTACAATACATCGGAAGATTTGGGCGGGATTGAACATACAGTTGCACTAGTGATTATCGAATACGAGCCGAACGATTTTGAACCGCGGGATCAAAGCATATCAAATACTGTCCTTGAACAGCTTCACCTACTTTTCATGCGACCAACTTTCTTGTCCCACCATCTCTTTTGCTGGACGTATTCTCCAGTAACTTGCGTGGGCATTGCCGGGGCTTACACTGGTGTCTCCTCTTCGGAAAAATATATGTTTCCAGCTTTTTTGCTCTCCCTCATGGAATACGAGGCACCTCCGAGCCCTTGCTGTCAGTACTAGCTTGATATAAGTTGCCACGAGGCATACTTAGAACTCGATGGTAGAACATCCCTAGGCAGGTCACAGTGATGTCCTAAATCACCTGTGTCCGTTGCTCCGTTGGGTGCTGCAGGACTGTTGCCGCGCGCGCCACATGCATGCGAGGTACCCTTCGCACTAGTCGTTCCACTGACAAATAGTTAATGTTTCCAGTTCAATCATGCGACAAACTCGCATTACTCATCGGGAACACCTCCTTGGTGTAAATATGCTAGCTCGAATAGAGTAGTTAGCATTGCGGCGTCGGTGAAATGACACATTTATGAAGATTAATTGAAAGTTGAGGTCGAGAGTTGGCCGCAGCAGTCGAGGGGAGTTACCAGCTCTAATACATATTACGTAAAGAATTCAAATGCCAGCGGAACGGAAGCAATCCTGGTCATGATCGAGGTAGCGCTATACCCTAGCAAAAATCGACAGCGTTAACTTCAGGTGGCAAAGGGGGAGCGAACTGGGTGAAGAGGTAATTTGGTTAGAACTCAGCCAATGAGCTTATCTTTGTTCCAGAACTTCAGAAGTCAATCTTGATATTTGCACTCGGCACATGATCACACTCAGTTCAACTCCGACATCTTGCCGACAACTTCACAAATGTCAGATTGTCTGCCAGTCAAAAACTCTGACAATTGATTTTTCTTTGCTCGTCATTCAAACAGCGAATGAACTGTTATCGATTAGGTACCTCCGACATGTCCAATGCTGGGGTGTGGCCTAGCGTACTCGAGCTGTACATGCACTGCACGCGTATACCTCAAACAGAAGGAGCAGGTCGAAAACGAACTATATCTGTGGCCGCTGCAAACACTGACTCGGAGGCGGATGCACCCTGCGCACAAGGTATGCAAGTCACTGCTTGTCATTTTACTCGAAGCCTTTGCCCACATGGCTAGTCTGACAAAGGGGAGGGCTCTGAGTTTTTACTTGACTTGATGTCAGTAGTACAAGCTAGGCCGGCCTTGCGCCTACCGTCTACCTAAATCATGTGGGTTCCATGTGGAACTTAGAGGTTATAATGAATTGCAAGCCAGCAGCTAATCGTTCGGGGATATCTACCCGATATGCCGCTACCAGCAATCCAGCATCGAGCATAGCAACATCCCCGCTGCTTCTGCAGAAGTCCCCATATATGTAACCTGGCGAGAAGAAAGAGTACCAATGAGCCCCGACAACCTCCTCAAGCCCAATCGGAATCGACAATAGCGCGCAACTTCTGTATGTAGTATCAAATGCTTGGTCAAACACAAGACGGCTGCCGAGGTCGTTGCATCCTTATGGCCTACGAGAAAAAATTCTGATATTCCTTTCGCTCGAAGCTTGTTGATGCCGTGAGTTTTTGTTTGTTGTCGCGCTAAGCCTTGTGCTCATGTAAAGGCGAACATTTCCAGAACGTAACTCCCCTGTGACCTGCCTGGCAGTGACAATAGTTTCTCCGCCTACCTTGTTACTGTTGCTTTCATCATCTCGCTGTCCCAACCGCTTTGGTATCATGCCACCTGTACTCGTGTTATTTGTCATACTACTGCCACGCTGTTCTGCCCCCGTTATTCAAATTCCATGTTTTGCAGGCTTCTACATGGTTCTATTTGTTCCCGCCGAATCAATCTGTATGCCACAATTTATTCACGTTCTTAGCATGAGCACTCGATCCCCGATGTGTGGGTCTACTGAACGGCATGCCACCTCAAGATTTGCGTGGCTCACGGTTGGAACGTTGGCTCGCAGTGATATATGGTCTGGTGGGTGCACCGGCCTGGATGACCGGTGGCGCTCCCACGACAAGTCTTCTGAAATCGCCCGTGGGTTTGGGGCACTTGACTTGGACTGTGGCTGCACACTGCCCTACGCCCCATGCACGCCATGACTGACATGAAAACCGCAGTGTCCTCCGAGTTAGCCCAAGGCACATTAACATCCAATGTAGAGCTCGCTAAACAGACTCCACCTTTATTTGGGCACGCTATGCACAAGCTATTCGAGTTTGACCCATCTTACGTGAACTTCAACCATGGTGAGTTCTACCAAGCGAGATCAATGTCGTACATTGTTTCATGACCGATGCATCGAAGGTTCATATGGTTCATTACCCATGCCAGTCAGAGTTGCGTGCGATAAGCTCAGCGCTCGCATCGAAGCTAACCCAGACAAATTCTTGCGCATCGAGTGCGTTCACCACTGGATCGAGGCTCGTACTCGAGTAGCCAAGCTCATAGGGGCAAATACTGACGAGTGTGTTTTGGTGCCTAATACATTACATGGCATAAACACAATTCTCCGCAACTTCGAGTGGCATGAAGGGGATATCATCATTGAGAGTAGGTCAAGAATAATCATATGGAGCTTCTCCCACTTAATATTATTCCTTCTCCCCATACAACAGCAACCACAACTTATAATGCCGTGTCCCGAGCGATTAGGCATCTCGGAGATATCCCGCCATATCCACAAGTATCCACATGCAATCTTCAGTTCCCTACCACACACGCGGATATACTGGAAAACTGGCGAGAACATATCCGCCGAGTGACTTCGGAAAAGAGCGACCTCCAGGAGACTCGCAAGGTTGTCGCATTAATAGACGCCATCGCGGCCAACCCTGGTGTGCGTCTTCCTTGGAAAGAAATGGTGGCCATTTGCAGAGATGCAGGTGTTTGGTCAGTGGTGGATGCCGCGCATTCGATTGGTCAGGAATTGGATATCAACTTGTCGGAGGCGAAGCCTGATTTTTGGGTATCGGTTAGTTTATCAATTCTGACTCGTAATATTGTGTTATTGACCGGTTGAGCTGGACAGACTTGTCACAAATGGCTCTTTGCAAAGAGAAGTTGCTCAGTCCTTTATGTTCCAGAACGGTATGTTTCAACCTTCCAGAAGCATAATATCGATTGATATACAATGGGATGGGCTAGAAACCAACATGTTATCAAATCTTGTATACCTACCCCACGCAATTATTGCTCACCTCGAGACGAGGGTTACAACGGCCCACAAAGTTTCGTGAATCTTTTTCAACGTTAGTTCTCTCGAAGAAATCAATCTCGAGTGCCCGTGTCTTATTGATTGCTAGGGAACGGGACCATAGATTATGTTCCATTCCTGAGCGTGAACGCAGGTTGGTGCGAAGTTGTCATCAGCACTACTGTTTTGACTTGCGACTAGCCTTGGACTTCAGGCAGTGGCTCGGCGGCGAGCACAAGATCAACGAATACACTCACAATCTCGCAATCGCAGGTGGAAAGTATCTGGCGAGTCTCCTAGGAACTAGCGTCATGGACCCTGCCGGCGACTTGACTCTAAACATGGTGCGTTAATCAGTTTTGTGTTCCTTTATTCACTTCATGTTTCCTTGGTCAGGTCAACGTGGAACTGCCCATTCCTGGCGACATCAAATATTCGAATGAAATCAACAAGCTGCTGATAAATACATTGTTGGTCGAGTGGAATGTGTATGCTGTTCCTTACTATCACAATGGAAAATGGTGGACAAGGTGTAGTGTGCAGATATGGAACGAGGTGAGAAATCGAATCTGTTCATAAAGACATCTTGACTCTTACGGATAGAAATCAGATTTCAGACTTCGAAGTTCTCGCCAATGCTTTCAAAGACGCGTGCCAGAGAGTAGTGGAGTTTGCAAAGCAATAGATACTTAAGTGCTCGATGTACGAAATATTTCGAGATTGAACGTTGAACAAAGACCAGTGGTGCCAAGAAGATCTACGTGCTGACTAAGCTGCGGGACTAAAGACAGCGGAACGAAAACTGCATAGATTTTGACTTCAAGGGTGTACAGTGTACACCATGGCGAAAACCGAATTAATCGACTCCCATGTTTCCGTGAAACAGTGCACACGAGCCGTACATGCCCTGCATGCATATGCCTCAAAAAAACAAAAGGAACAGGAGGAAACCGAACTCCTACCATCCTAGCGAGCAATATGTGTGGCTACAGATCACAGTGAAGCGGATGCATCCCGAACACAAGATCAAACCATTCAAAATGTACGTTCTGCTACTCTTCAATGGATGTGCAATTGTGACATCTCCAAGCCCACTCAAGCATCCTCTCATCGATCCACGAGTTACGCCTGTCTGTCTCATCACCAAAGACCCTCAACGAGAGTACAAAGACCTTCTCGAGTCTCATAAAATCAAATTTATATCAAGGGTCGTTGGCATCACAAAACTCAAGGGCAAATTCAAGTCCTACGAAGCTAGGCGAATGCTGTTAAAAGAGAATGGAATGTTTCTGGCAGACGAGCGTGTAATTCCTTTACTGCCGGGCTTGTTGGGAAAGAAGTGGTTTGACGCAAAAAAGTAAGATTGCTCGAGACTACTTCTATCGCGAGCATATCTGAATTCATCTTGCAGACAGCCAATCCCGGTTTGCTTGACACGCAAAGACCTCAAGGGTGAATTAGAACGAGCCATCGAGTCGAGCTACATGCATCAGAATAGAGGAACGTGCACGTGCGTCTGTTTTTATCTACCTCCTGAATGCGAGCCTGATGCAATGATGGTTGTTAGGTCTGTTAAGATCGGACTACTATCACACACGCCAGAAAAAATCCTCGACAACATGAAAATATCTTTTCCCGCCATCGTGAAAAATATAAAGGGTAACTGGGATAACATTCAAAGTCTTCACATCAAGACGAATTCAAGTATCAGCTTACCGATATGGACATGCGAACTCGGAGATGCGACCGGTGGACGGTGGGATGGTATGGTCCAATCCAAGGACGCATCTGAGGAGAGTAAGTTGGATGAAGACCCTGCTTCCAACGACACAGACATGGATTTGGAAGAACATGTACCGGAAGTGCCAGTTAGCAAGAGCAAGAGCAAAGGTACGAAGAAACCCCTGAACGAGGTTGTCGTGAAGTCGGTTACGCCGAAGGAGGTGAAACAAAAACGGAGTACTGAAGGAGCAGAAAAGAAGAAAGCGAAGATTGCAAAAGGTGGCCCAGTAAAGAGTGCGAAGAGTGCCCTCATTGGCAAGAAGCCAGGTCGACCGTGATTCTGCTGGGTGGCGGCGTAGTATGTCATCGAGCAGATATGTATCACTGGTGTTGTTTGCGAGCTTGTTCGGATATATCCCTTTTCCCCAGGCATATAATGCCAGCTGACAAAACGCCATTGTTTGCATTTCCCTCTCGTCATTCATTTGTCGCTCAGCTGTAAGCTAGTATGTACATCGAGCAAACCGGAGTGCCATTGGGTGAACACTACCTTCCTTTTTGGTCATACTCGGAACCACTCGTCACTGTCATATTGCCTTTCCTCGCACCTACGATGGCTACTAGGAAGTCCACAAAACTACGTATACCGCATTCTCAAGATGATTGCGAGCTGGTTGGGATTTTGGAACAACTGGCACCTGAAGAATCCATGCAGGGCAGAAAGATTGCCCTGGTATGATACTGATCATCATTCCAGTCTTTGCAAAATTACTTTACTCACGTATGTTCCAGATTCTTCACGGGTCTATGGGGTACGTTCCTACTATTTCGGCTCCTTCTCTCTTCTAATCTCACTTCAGTCATAAAGACTACTTATTCCTAAAGCGTCTTGCACTACGTTTCCCGATGGACTCATTCAGATTTGATTTTCGGTCTGTCAACCGTTCGTCTTGGCGTCAATCCCCATTCACTTAGAGCAGCGGCAATCATGAAAGTGGGGGCCAACGGATACAAAGTGGGATTGCTAGAGATGTTGAGGACCTCGTGACAGTCGTTTCTTACCTCCGCAATACGTACGGATACGAGATTGATGCGGTGGTGGGCCATTCTCGTGGTTCTGTGGTCGGGATGCATTGGCTATGCACGTCAAAAGAAGGCCAACGTGTTCGTGCTATGGTCAATGCGTCGGGTCGTTACCGAATGGATGTGAGAGAAATAACCTCATGCCTGCCGCAAAATAACTGAAACAGCTGTGACTAGGGGGTTTACGGTATGCTCAAAGATTTCAAAATCCAGACGGTCAGTCATCTTATCCTAATTTCTAGACCTCTACAAAGAGCAGTGGGACTTCAAAGGTCCCTACGAGCGGACCGTGACAGTCGCTCGACAAACAGTTGTGGAAAGAGTCTATCCAGAAGATCTAGAGGAGTTCTCTAAGTGGAATACCGCAATCGTTTGGGACAAATTCCCTGCTCAAATTCATGTTCTGACAATGCATGGTCTCCTCGATAAGGCAGTTCCTTCGTGAGTGCATGCGAACTGATAGGGGGAAAAATCTCATTGATCAGATATGATGCGGTTATTTACTCTCGAGCACTTGGTGCCAGAACGCCTGGCACCCACAACCTCCATTTAGTAGAGAAGGCCGATCACAATTTTACAAAGGTGAATCTCGATTCTTATCGTCGTAGCTACTACTAACAATATACTCAGCGCCAAGACGAAGTTGTAGACTGCATTCTGGAGTGGTGGGATGCTCTTAACCAAGGACGCTTGAAAACAGGCATATTTATGACAGGCGTACGTGGCAAACTGTGACTGCGAGTGCCTAGCCCTTGCAAACACTGGTTGAATATACGTTATTTCCCCTGGACATCAAGGAGTGGCAATGAACCCACGACCCCGAGCTGGCCGTGCCAAGTTTCGGACCATCTTACGAATTTCGGCTGTGCCACAGAATTTCTAAGCGCCTTAGGCTATATTCGACCGCGTTCTCGCTCAGCTCTTGATCCCAATTTTCATGACAGAAAAACCAAAAAACATCGTCAGCTGTATCGTTTCGTATACTCGTTCAGGATAATTTTCTGATGAGTAAGTTGAAACACTGTAGAAAGTTGAAACAACCGCGATAGCGCATCATGCATTATCAATCATCTAGGATACCTGTCTCCACGGTCAGCACCGCATGTTGGTTCGATGCGCAGTACAACACTTTAGCCAAACTTGATCTGACATATTCGGATCCCTCGCAAAGCACAGCCTGAGGTTGTTGATCGGCAATCATTCTGTCATGGTACTATGTATACACTGCAAAGACCGGCCCATCAGGGAATTGGTGAGTGCCCCAAAACATTTACGTGGTTTTTCAAAGTTATACACAAACACGCATGACGAAGACCCTGTACATGTCGGCACACATGACGATATCTAGTCTCTGATCGGCGGCCACTCAACGAGTCATTATCACAGCCGGGTGTTTCTCGGACAGGATGACAGGCTGAGCATCCTCGTCTTTGATGCTACCATATACGTGCATGATGACAAGTTCCGAGATTCTGGCGCCAAGCCACTATAATAAACATGCAGCATCGGTGCTTTCGATAATCCATAAGCGCCACCGCATTGCAATGTCCCGCTGAGTACAATCGAATTAACTCCAGCAATTACTAATTACTAGCTACTGTAAGCCAAATAGCAAGCCAAATGCCAAATACATAGTAAGATCTGTGGTGAATCAAAGTATGGTCCGTATGATGCAACTTGGATTTGGCCAGGATTGAAATCTGAATGATCTTCCTCCTCCTTCCTTCCCTGCAAATCTTCTTTTGCACATATTAAATTGTGATTATGCGGCAATGCATCCCAACGCACGCGGTGGGGAGTGTGAGGGTCGTGGTGATGAAATTATGATGGTGGTGTATGATTATGGGGTTGTCGAAGAATGGGAGCGTGCTCGGAGAGCGAACGCTAAACGCCATGTGGCGTGAGGTAACGTCGAGCGTTTAGACAAAGATGCCCTGGGCCACAGCACGTCAGAAGAACACTGGTACGACTGTGCTGGCACCAGCACGAATGGTAGTGCGCTGCGACGAGTATTGTGAAGACTGCGAGTGTGATTGACCACACGAGTCTGAATGGCTGGAAGGTGACTGCGAGCTGGGATTGCTCGAGTACGACTTGGATGAAGCGTAAGCAGCTTGCGAAGTGTTCGAGGTGTTATATTGGCTGCTCATGACGGGAGATGTTTATTTGACTCGGAAGAGTTCTGGTACGCTGCTGGAGTGGTGGTAGGAGTGCTTTCTGGATGACTGAGCTGGCATTGGGGCAGGGCTCTTTATAGGTAGCAGGTTCATCGCCTTTTGCTGTATTGAATTAAGAAAGATTTCGAGATCTGGATTGCCGGGACCGACACCGTGACAAGCCCGATCGAGAATAAAGGAAGGGGGTGCTCTCACGGATACGCAATGGCTCGCGAAGGCACATCAACCTTGCTCGTGAGTTTATTAATATTGGCGCTCATTTCAGGGTAGCTGTTTACCAATGGAGGAAACCCGCAACGAGTAGGTAGCGTGGTGGGTAGCACAGGCTGCCGCTCGTTCCTGCCATAGATCCGTTGTGTACGTAGAACGGCGTTTGCCGCCCCGCCCTCTCACGCTTCTTACCTCCGATGCTGTACAGATCTGGTCTCACCCATCTTGGAGAATGGGTCTTAAAAGACTCATCGTTAGAACCCTTCTCTTTTTCCAGTACTTTTCGGATTCACATTTCATTTGTTTTCCCCGCAGCATTCGGCACGTGTTGTGGTATACTTATGATTGCCGATTTGTTTCACGGCCATTCGTCATTTCTAGCTAGCACGGTGGGTCCGAACTTCCGATACATCCAGTGTCAAATCTTGGTAAGTTTGATACTCGTGACTAACGTACGTTCCCCTTCATGATCAAGGCACGTTCTTGCTAGCACTCTTCTGTGTGCAATTGTCTGGCCAATTCTGTGCCTGACACTTACCTGGACTAGTACTGGAGTGGTATCACACAGTGAGTCATGAAAGTTAGGATGTCCACTGAATATACCCTTCTTTAAGACTCGCCCAAATCCTAAACCTCCTTGGCGGCGTAACACAACTCGATACCGAGGTCCCGAGGAACCCATGTCGAGTCTGACAATAGCAGTGAAAAGGCAGCGAACATCGTTACATGTAAGCGCACACACTAGCACATACTAGATCTGACCCTTGAAAATTGAACGATTGGATTCCGGAGAGCCCCGCTGTTCCTATGATCGGCTTGATTTGGGGCTCGTTGTATATCAATCACTCTTGCACTATTTCTAGTAAGCGGACGCTGACATCCGATGACTCCTCCAAACTTTACAGTACATACATTCAAGTCCAATGAATGAATATGACTAACAGCAACCATTGGTTCCGTCTCGCACTGCCTGTCTTGATGCCATGGAAAATTTTATGCATAGATATAAGCGGCCAGATCAAGCGAAGAGCTAGCAAATTCTTGGAAGTTGGAACCCGATATCGGTTAGTACACTGTTCGATTTTCTATCGAACTTCGACGATGATCTTCCCGCTAACAATGAAGTCTCGGCCTCCGCTAGATCTTCCGATGGAGACAGAGTGCTCACCTATTCTTATTGTCGGCCATCTCATGATGAGCACTTTGGATCTCTGTCCAAGGATACACCTGTGGAATTGTATGTCCGTGTCCGACGGCATCAGAAGAGCAGAAGAATATACTCACTTTGTGAATGTAAGTCCGTATCGGGCCACCTCCGTTGACACCAGTTACCTTATCGATTATATCACGGAAACTCGAGCTAATGAGATGAGTTAGTCTGGAAGTGAATCACATCAGACAATATCATGACAGAACCTTGTGATGAGCTCGGTCTGGTACTGTAGACTACGGGAGCGTAGAGTGGAACCTTGAATGCGGAGACGCTTGTAAAGGATCGGGCCAAGGTTGACTGTAGAGACTTCGTTCCCTAACCAATCACTTAGTCAAGAGCTTTTGAACTTCGAGACACAACAAATGCCTACCACTCATAGTAGCCAATATCGTCATCCTACCATCAATAGCGAGTGATTCCACGTTCTTGGCCCAATGACTTTGTCCAACGAAATCTATAACGACATCGACGCCTTTGCCGTTGGTGGTTTTCTTGACCTCCGCGGCAAAGTCTTCAGTTCTGTAATTGACGGTATGTGTCGCCCCGTTAGGAATGGAGCGCAGCCAATTAAGTTTTTCTGCAGTAGACGCCGTTGCAGTAACGGTTGCCCTGTCAACGGCGTGATAACGTATTCAGCAAGAACGTGTAGAACCGCAAGGAAGAAAAGCATCGAAGGCAGTGAGGACCGGGAAACTGAAGACCGGTGAGGAACACTCACGCTCCGAATTCCCTTGCTATTTGAATTGCCGCAATGCCTACACCAGAAGCGCCTGCGTGAACGAGTACATGATCGCCCTTCTTGACTTCCCCGTACTTGACAAGAGCTTGATAAGCTTAGAATGATCCCAAAGCAGTCAGAAGTTCTCAGAACCGAAGACGACCGCTTGGCTGATCTGCCGTACTTACCTGTGATATAGTTTTCTGGTATGCTAGCTGCCTCCACCCAAGATAAGTGACCGGGCTTCTTCAACAAGAGTCCTTCGTCACAGTTTATGAACTCCGCATAAGCTCCCTGAGATAGCCGTGACAGTTTTAGTCAGTGAAGAACATACACTTTGACTGGGGCAATCGACTAACGCCGCCCACGAGACCAAATACTTCATCCCCAACAGCCCATCTTGTTACTCCTTCGCCGAGTTCAGTCACACGTCCAGAGAACTCCACACCGAGAATGGAGGAAGCGCCAGGGGGAATAGGGTAGCCACCCTGACGCTGGTAATGGTCCATGCGATTAAGGCCGAATGCGACAATCTACCATGGACATTCCAGGTCAGACAAGATCAATTTACGTAGATCCATAGGATGAAGAAAGGCACGAACCTTTACCAAAACCTCTCCCTTCGTTGGGACCGGCTTATCTGTCTCCCCAATGTAGAGGTTCTCGATGGGACCGTGCCCGTTTTTGATTAAGATGGCGCGCATTTTCGACGACACAGTAGCGCTGGGCGTCATGGTATGAACGATTGTTGTTCTGTGTCTGTGTGATTTAGTTCTTGTGCACGTGAATGTCCCTGTAAACTGCGTAGATGGATTCAAAATGGTCCGAACTTCCACATTTCAAATTGGAATAACTAATTATAGGAGGTCTTGTATTCCACGAATATTCAGCGACTACCCAGACAGAAAACCCCGCAGACATCGCAAGGAAGTCTGACATCAGAAGTTGTTCAAAGGTCACCGTTCTCGAAGCAACGATATTTAGTCGGCGGTCCGGGTGTGATCGAAAATGAACTCAAACTGAGATGGTCGATGCGTGAAATCGAAAGAGTCTGATTTGAAACCGAATTGCAGTCACCGTCCTTCCCTGTTCTTGAATTCTTCCCGACTATGTAGGACCATCAGCTGAACTGTCCTATAAATGTTCACCACTGGGGAATCACAAGGGGGGCATGCGATACACAGGGAAACAAGAATAGCGATCAGTAAGGCAACGACAAGGCCTAGATCATCAGATCCAAAGTATAGAAGAAGATACTCATCCGATAGCTGCAGAGGGTTCACTGTTCTGCCGACGTTCATTAACGAGAAATTCTCATGTCAACATGTGCCCACCACACGATGCCTGAGTATGCGGAAATGAATGGTCATCTCTTGGCATGATCAACTTCATTAAGCACTATCCTCGACTCCAGCTCCAATATCATTCGTAACCGAGAGTGGCATGCCCCCGCGCCAGGGTAGAACACCGGAAGATAATAAAACTGGTAGGATAAGTCAGCACTGCGAATGTATCGCGCATAAGCTATCGCTGCCTCATGGTTGATGACAATAACAGGTAAATTCAAATTCCTGACCTTGAGTTTGAGGCTCACAAGTAAAACACCGGCGAATAAGTCAGCGCAAGATATCATCCATGTTTGTTTTGTTGATTGTAGATTGCTTGCAAATAAATTTTGCAATTTCCTAAACCATATTTTCGTTTAGCATTAAGAGTTTCGTCGAACCAAAGTGGGAGAACAAAATAATACCGTCCCGAAACACCGTCCAATTGTCGCCGTATTGGGTAGTGCCTACGAAGCTTACATCGAAATCGTCGTCCTCGATAAGTAACAGATGCTGCAAAGCCACTAGAACCCAGTAGTAGCCATGAGGTAAAGCAGTAGTGCTTGCAAGTTGCCAGTAAACGGTTGAAGCTAAGTCCCATGAATATTCAAGTTGATGGAAGTCGGGGAGAACCGGAAAAGCTGAGTAAGCGCAGCGGCTGGCCAAACACGCATCATCATTGATATTGACGACCGGCGTCGAACTCACACACAGCTCACTATTTCACTTGTGCTCGACGTTTCAAGTAGTCTGGAGGCGCAAAGGCCATTTATTGCAATGGCTCAGTCTTACTTTTCCGCCCCAGCTCGGTCATCTTCATCGCTGGCGAAGGAGCCTTTGCTTTCAAGTCATGGTGGTGAGAAGCATTTGAAGGTGGAGGATGTTCAAGAAGCCTACATCGAACAAAAGGATCGGTTTGTTTGGAACCTTTCCTTACTTTTTTATGTTTTTCTGATGCGTCAGGCAGTCTGATTCAGGCCCTTGATTCCTCCAAGTCTATTCTCGGGGAACTGCGTCGGTTCAATAAGGAGGAGTGGGTGGTAAGGTACCCCACTCTACACGAGCAACCCTCCGCAGAGCCTTCATCATCATCATCATCATCATCAAGGACAAAACCCCGTCGCTCTCTTCGCCGTTCGCTTTCGTTCGCAGATGATCCAAACAACCAAACAGAAGTCCTTTATACTCCTGTGCGGGAGGGCCTGACCCGAGCTGTCACACTTGCATCAATTTCCGATGCCCCGGAAGGTACTGATGTCAAGCCTGTGGATGAAGGCACGAGTCAGGGTGAACGGGACACATGCGAGGCGGAGAAGTTGATGCTGTCGTCCCAGAATGGAGATTTTAATATCCTTCGTCTGGACCTCAAGCTCGGCCCCCATGGCTCGACCACATCCCCTGCCGCTCTCGTATCACACCTCGAAAAAGGTTCTATTGCCAGTTTATTGGACGAACGTATCGGTGCTTCTGTCAATCATATGGATAAGCTCCGCCTTCGTGTGGAGGACACTTCATCCAAGGTTCTTGTCACCGGAGACCTTAATTCTGGAAAATCCACTTTTGTCAACGCCCTTCTTAGGCGTGAGGTGATGCCAATTGACCAGCAGCCCTGCACAACCGCCTTTTCCGAAGTGCACGATGCTGCTGAGAATAATGGCAAGGAGGAAGTTCATATCATCAAGGAGGGTGTGGTGTATAACATCTCGGATGAGTCGACCTTCACTCGCGTTTCGCTTGCAGACTTGGAGACGATTGTCTCAGACAATGAGGGTGTTCAGCCAGTCTTGAAAATATACCTTTCTGACAGCCGGGCACCGTCGGAATCATTGCTCAATAATGGGGTTGTTGATATATCCCTAATTGATGCACCCGGTCTCAACCGCGATAGTTTGAAGACAACGGCTCTCTTCACTCGTCAGGAGGAGATTGACGTTATAGTCTTTGTCGTTTCCGCCGAAAACCACTTCACCTTGTCCTCCAAGGAATTCCTATGGAACGCTAGCAACGAGAAGGCGTACCTTTTCATTGTCGTGAACAAGTTCGAGCACATCAAAAATAAGGAGAAATGCAAGAGGTTGGTACTGGAGCAAATCAAGCAGCTGAGCCCTGGGACGTACGAGGACGCTGAAGACCTTGTCCACTTCGTTGATTCTGCCGCTGCTCTCCGACCGTACACAGCCAATCCAGCATTCGACGACCTGGAATCCTCGCTTCGTTCGTTCGTTCTCGTCAAACGCTCCAAATCGAAGCTCCAGCCTGTCGCAACTTACCTCTCCAACCTCTTATCCGATGTTGATCTTTTGGTTGGCGCAAATGCCATCGTTGCCCAATCTGATCTTGACCGCGCTCAAGATGATTTGACGCGTGTCAAGCCAGTTCTTGAGAAGATGAAGGGCAGCCAAGAATTATTGGAAGAAAATCTGGAGTCTGTGGAGGAATTAGGGGCAGAGAAGACGGGTGCCAGAACAAAAGCCATCCTTTCCTCTGCTATCGAGCGCGTCGGACAAGGCCTGCCTGGCGTTAATCATGCTACTATTTCCCTGCCAGCTTTCCCTGGATTCCTTCGCATTTGGGATTATGCCAGAGACGTAAAGAAGGCTTTGTTGGCGAGCTTGGATGCAGCTGTGAAGTTAGCTGAGGATGAAGCGCGCGCCACTACTTCTGCAGGGGTGAAGAAGATCGGCGAGCTTGGCGACGCCAATCTTCCTGAAGGAGTCGGGAAGTCCCGAAGGGTCTTCATGCCCGAGGCCATGTTCTCGTTGCGCCCAGGCAAGAAGGGACTCCGCCGCCGTTCCTCTGCAACGGCCACCGCTGTCGTGGCTGGAGGGGTCCACAATCTTGGCATTGGTCTCTCCCAGCGCCCGGACATGCTAGACACGTCTGCCCTCGATATCTTTGACTTCCACCGACTCTGGCTTCAGTTTGCTGATGACAAGAAAGAAGCAGAGGATGAGACCAGCCCTACTACTGCGCTCAGTGTCGTCTCCGTTGGCGTCGGCGCCCTAACAATGGTTGGTGGTCAGACGTTTGGTGCCCGAGGCATTATCGATGGTATCGTACGCATTTCTGAGTTGTTTGGAAACGAAACTGCAAGGAAATGGGCGGCTCCTCTTTTGGGCGCTTTCGTTATCGGTGCAACTGCCTACTTCGTTCTTGAATTACCGAACACCATTCCACGCACCATCGGTCGCCGCATCCGTACATCTTTGGTTGCCGTTGACGAGAACACAACCGAGAATGAACTCTTCGTTAATGCCCATGCTGGCCGTGTCAGCAGGGAGACACGGAAGGTCTTGCGCCTGGCATCTTGGGACCTCAGGGAGCGCTTCAGAGCCGCAATGGAAGAGAGAGGCAAAGAAGTTAAGAATGCAGAGGAGATGGAGAGGAAGGCCAGGAGAGCACTCGAGTACTTCCTGGAGGTGGAGACAAAGACGGGTTTAATCAGAAATGATGCTGGCTTGATCAGTGTGTTGTAAGATTATCTCGCTTGTTTATTTTCTTATGCTCTTACCACCTTACCATCTTCGTTCGTCCTTATGCGCACCCTGACGTCTTTGTCGTTGCCGCTCACTGTCGTTGATTGAATTTTTTATTGTTTTGTTTTGTCTTTCATGCATATGGTTTTAACGTAGGATAGCAACGGAATCTCCGCACACTAGGTGATCGGAATGTCACTATATGTTTTAGCACGGATGAAAGAGATCTACAGTACTTGAGCGTGCCTACCCTAACTGCAACTGCTAGGTCGAGTTGCGCGGCGAAATTGCAGAGCTACGTCTTCAGTATAATAGAATAGACTACATTCGATATTGATTTACAACCCCTCGTCATACAACTTCCGGGATAATGCAACATAAAATCTCTCCAAATCCAACTTGGAGGCCAATTCGTGCTTGTCAGACTTCTTGAGCTTATGCTTCTCTGAAGTGTCTCCAGGGCGAGACGACTTGCTCGTCGATGGGACCTGATCGATGATCCAATCGAACACGGCCGAGAGCTTATCCGTCGACGCTTTCACAACGGGGTCACTTTCTCCCTCCTTGCGCATCTCTTCCCTAGTCCCTCGAGAGACTCTCGCATTCGATGACGACATCGAAGATCCACCAGCACCAGCAAGCTCATACCCATTCTCTTGCTTCTTCCACGCCCGAATAAACTTCGACCAGTCGCCGAACGCCCACCCATCTGCACCGACGCGACCCGCTAAGCTCGTCAAGGGCACAGACGGCAAGTCGACATTGAATTCCAACCCCCGGGCACCTCTGATCTCCCAGTGATCGCAGCCCTCCATTATCCCGAGAAATTCGCCCCACCTTGCGCTCTGCACGGTTACGAGGCCGTCGTTTCCCCACTGGTCGTCATGCTCCCATGTCAGAGGTGCACATGTAGCGCCTGTGTTGGCGTGTTGCCGCTTGAGGCGCTCCTTTGCATCCTGTTCCAACTCATCGAGCACCATCTTTGGGAGACAAAGCGGGTGCCAAATGCTCATGTCGGCGATACGTCCGGTGACGCTGAAATACTTGACACGTGGATCATCAGGGGTGGCTGGATTGAACACGTTGTTGAGGTAGGAAGATGTCAAGTTGGCATATGCAGGCGAGTCCAGGATGGACAATAAGAGCGTCGTGAAAGAAGATGGCAGAGAAGCCAGTGACAAGGAGAATGAAGTCTCGCGCTTCTCGGTGCTCGTCCCCTTTTCCGACATAGACTGCTCCTTAATCTCGGTCATTTTCTTGAATATTTCTTCCTGAGGTCGTCTTCCGAGGCCGATATTTGCCTTGGCATCAAGTGAAGTGAATGCACTGCAAAGTAAGAGTAAAATGTTGGAGCTTACCGCACACCAGTCCATGAAGGGGCTTCCTCTATGGGGAGTACTGATTGTTGTCAGGGATAGTGGGATATATTCACTTGGCTGCACGTGTGTAATGAGATGGCGGCAATCGAGACCTCCCATGGAATGAGCCATGAGATTGACGCCTCGCCCTCTAGCCTTCTCTTGGAGTAACCGATCAAGGTTTTCTGCCCTCGACGCTATTGAACCCGTTCTAAGTATATATACAAAATCAGAAATGGTCTGATACCAAGCTTGATGACCATACCCAGGTACCGCTGTAACAATAACGTCTGCTCCGACCTTCTTCTTGAGAATGTTGAGGACATTGGCCCAGTAGTGCATTCGAAGACTGGGAAATGCAGCAGGACCTCGCACATCAAATCCGTATAGCCCTATGGATCAATATGCGTGGTTCACTCTAACTGAACCAATTAAGATGAACTAACCGTGGCAGAGGACAATCGGAAACCTAGGGGCTCTGATTGGGTCATACAGTGTTGGATTTCGCAGTAAGCGATGAATGGTATCGGTGGAATCACCCTCGGATGGTTCTTGAGGCGGTAATTTCCCCTGGGGCAAGTTGGAACTGATAGAAGATGTGTCAAGAGCGGTGGTGTGAGACTCAGATGACACTTTCAAAGGAGGGGATAAATTTAGAGGCGATGACTTAGTATCGTCCTTAAAGAAGCATCCTGTTTATGGACGACTGTATGAGTCTGGTGAACGCTGGTGAACGCCAAACGTGGTAACTTGCCTTTCGAGGTCCAATGAGGGAGTGTTGGAGTCGGGCGTTTGGTTGGTTGCTCTAAAACACTATCCACA